GCAGAATTCAACACTAATGTTTCTTCGGGCTCTGAATAGTTTCCCCCGAAAAGAAAAAAAAAAAAGACCCAGCTCTGTATCTTATTTTTGTCTGATGCTTTTATCAGCCCATTTACGTGCCAAATCAGCAGGTGAAAGTGTTGCAAAATGAGTGAAGACCCAAAGCCGAAGCCAAAGCCAAAGTCAGCGAGGCTAAATGGCGAAATTACTTGAGGTGAAAATTGTTTTTCCGCTCCATGCTCCACAAGGAAGGAAAATTTGCAACGAAAAATGCACCCAAAGCAGTCGTCTCTGGTCTGGAATTTTCCCACACTTTGAAGGTGGACGTGTCTGAACTTTGATTAGAATGCCCGGGTTTCCACGCAGTTTTCCACGGCTGAAGGAGCTCTGGAGTTGGGTAATATATGTGTACACTGCCCAAAATAACAAATTAATATTCATACAATATTTTGTTATATATTTGTAAATCTCTTTATAGTATTTTTTTTAAACATTTTGGTTACTAAAAACGAAATTTATATGAATTAAGATAGATGTCATGAAGGCTTTTCTTTTTTTTTCACTATGATAGAAATGTGCACAGTTCTGTGGAACCGAGCTCTGAGTCACGGGTGATTAGTCAGCTGCGTGCCCCAAGAATTTTCGACAAGTGAACGGCCTTTGAGTCACAGCCACTGCAAGAGTTTTCCTTTTACCCCTAAGCACCTTGGACAAATTCCCGCGCCGCCAAGGAAACACTAAGCGTGTTCACGTTTAATGAGTGCCACAGCTATCGATCGTTGTGGCACCTGTTTCCGTTGCATAATTTCGGTGGCCAGACAAGCACCCGAAACATGGATTCCTTCCATATTAGTTGTTCCTCGGGTTACCAAAATATTTACATTTTTTTTAAGTGAGCAAACGAACCCGAGGCGCTAATTCTAATGAAGTTGCAAGGGAGTGTGGCAGGTGTCTGCTGCGGTCTCTTATGGGCCATTTGTAGACCAATAGAGCCTAGAATGGGCCCAGTTTGCACCTTAATGAGGGATCAGTAGATAGGAACAAATAACTTAACTGCTAATGAGGAAACTGTACTGGAAACTGCCCTAAAAAGGATGTTTAATTATTACCTTGAATGGTTTTGAAGCATTTGGAAATGCGAAGGGAAGTAGAGATATAATACTATAAATATCTTTCAGTTGTACTAAAACTGTTAATGTAATAAGAAACATGTTTTATTAATTTAAATATTTGTATAATATATATTTATTTGCTTTATTTTCTTAGGTTTACCAATTTTTCTAAAACATCATTTATTAGCAAAGATGTCATGGCAAATATAGTTTTTGTTGTTTGGTTACCATAAATCTCTCATCTTTATCAGTTCCTGGAAATGCATTTCAAGTACATCAGAGAGAGTACCTTATGATTTTCGTTACTTTTTGCACAGCTAACCATCCGCAACTAATGCGAAGATCTGAGACTCAGGACTCGGAGTCCCGAATCCCGAAATGTTCCGAGACGGAAGGCACGGCGTGTGCGGTTCGCCAGGCCGTTTATTGTTGGGAAATCATAAAAGATCATAAATAAATAGCAGAGCACAGAAGATTTACATTTGCCTGGGACTGCCGAGGGTCCGTCACACTTTAATTGCCGGAGATAAAGCGAGTCTAAGCGGATCTCTTGGATGGGAAACGCACACAGACTACGGTCCAGTCGGTCCAGTGATTCATCCAGCTTCTCCATTGCCGTCTCCGTCTCCCTCCGGGTAATTGATACCCGAGGTGTTGATTTGTAAAACAAAAAACTGTTTGCTTACAAACAAAAGGCCTTGTTATGTGCACGAGCAGCGGCAATGGGACAACAACTGAATTTTCGGGAATTTAGATAAGAAGCCAAAAATGATTTCATCCGAAACCGGGGCTAGATAAAGATAGGCCTCGTCACTCCCAATACCGATACCCATACCCTTCATGACCCAGACCCCTCAAATGCAAATCAATGTACCATTAGTTGGGAGAAACTGTATAGAACAGATTCCTTCTGATCCTCCGATGTGGGTCCCCATCTCACTGACTGACAGCTTGATTGTGGGTCTTGGGTAGCCTTCTGTTTCCCCACCAATCTCAGGCTCTCTTGATAAGGCCAACAAACTTATCAGCGAGCGAATGGACCAAATATTTGATCTGCCTGTTATGATTTCTTGTACAAACGGTGGATGTTTATGCAAGATTAATGGTCAGGCGCACGCCTTCCTTCCTCGGGAAAGACCCCTTGGATCGCAGCCACCGCCGGATCCAAATTTCGTATACAAATTACATCACCGCCGACTTTTCTCTGATCTTGAACTATTAATTCATTAATTAGGCAAGACTTCGGTTGGATTTGGGGCTGGCCAAGCAGCGGATGTAACAAAATGGAGCTGGGAATATCTGGATATAGGAAATAACTCTGTTTTATGGGTAAATCCACTTTTATCTATTCATAATTTACCAAACGATGCAAAAGATTACAATGTTTTGAATGCTATAAAAATTAAATGTAACATAATACATTTTTAAAAATGTGTGGAAGCCAATGATGGCTAATCCCAAACACAAGATTTGTAAAAAAACGATTGCTTATGGAAAATTCTATAGAATAAAAAAGATAGATACAAAAGAATTACAAAATTCCTTTGGCCCCGGAAATCTGCACACACACATACTATAAACATATATATACTGTCCCTGGCATATTGTCAAACACCGGGCATGAAGGATCCTTTTGCTACGATCCTGATCCTCTTTTGTGCGACACCTTTCGAAAAACTGTCAATAAGCGAGGGCATTGTTCGATCCCGGCCAAATGCAGCTGCTGCCGCCATCGAACTGCGAATCATTTCCTCGGACGCAGGACAATGGAGGAGAACAGGATCTGGCAAGGACATGTGGCAGCCAGAGGCAGAGGACAACTTATTGGCCAGGCAGAGAAATCACAAATCGAACGAGAGCATCTGCAACTGTCATGGCCGACATGTGCCAGCAAGATGCGAATGATTTTTGGCGGTAAAACGGGATTAACACAGGGAAATCGCAAGGGAAGGATAAATGTTAGCATTAGCAGGAAAGGAGAAGGGCTTCACTAATTACTGAAAATGCCACTAACTTGACAGCCTCAACACCTATACATTTTATTGTGTGCTTCCACTCCCCTTTTGATTATTAACTAATTAAAATAAGTTCTTTAAATTAATTCAGAAAAATGTGTGTAAATGTACGATAGAACCCGTCATCATTGGAAACTTTCAGCTCGCGTCGGAAGCTGGGAATTGATGCTAAAGCTGAATGAACTCATTTGCCATCGCTCAAGCTGGCTTAGCTTCTAAGCGGCTTTCTGGCCATTAACAGAGCGCGGAGAGAGCCTACTCTCTCTACTCTCTTGGCCTGCTCTCTCCTCTTGGCCAGAAAATAAAAAGAAGCAGCTACATCAGCAGCAGCAACTTTTCTTGTTGCCGCTTGGTTTAATGGCTCTTTTTTCGGCAACATGCTCAGTCAACCTTGGCAAGGCCGTTGTTGCCGGTTTTTTATGCCGCTGTATGCTGTTATGTGTGTCTGTGAGTGGGTTTTCTGCCGTTGTGTGTGTGTGCTCTGCGTGGGTTTTCTTTGGTATGCGGGCAACGGAAGTGCGTCGGGAATGGGCCATAATCGACATCCCATCCCCCTGGCCCCTCCATCCAGCTCCAGCTCCTGGCCAACAGATGTTGCGGCCCTTGGCATAATTGCACAGGGCAATGGCTTGTTGGCATCATTAGAGCCGAGTTTGGGTGAATACAGCAATTACAGTATCCGCAGCATGTCCTGTTGCCAAATTGAGCGGAAAGTGTTGGAGGGAAAAGTCCATAAAGATGGAAAAATGTCAAGGGAAATGGTGCACAGAAATTAAATGCTTTGCGATTAAGATATTCGCGTGAATTTAAATGAGGACAACATTTCGCAGGGAAATTAATGGAGTCCTTGAAACTTTTAAATAAACCCTGCCTTTTTCAATACTATTGGCATCCTTATATACATTGTAACAAGAAAGGAACCCGAATTTCCTATAACCTTGCAGTGTAAATTCATCATAACTAAGTTAAAAATTATTTAATTTCCAATCGGAAAGCTTTTCTATGTAAGTTTTCATTAGGCTAAAAAATCTGCATATTAAATTCAACATTTAAAAATTTTAAACTTTTTTGGAATTTTGTCATTTTTAACGATGTAACCCCTTATAAAATTTTCGAAAAATGGGTCAAAAATTGGTTTTCTTTCGGACCTGGCTAAATCGACTCGGTAGTTGATGCTGATGAAGAATATATATGATTTATAGGGTCGAAAAAGTTTCCTTCACTGCGTTGCATGCTTCTGACTGAAATTATAATACCCAGCAAGGATTATAATTTATTTTTTTTTTATAAATGGTTTTATAGAAATATTTTCAGTTTAGTTTTTTTTCCGAGTCAACCTCTTTCTTTTAACTACATATACCCAAACTATTTATGCAGCATATCCTTTTCACTTTTTCTCTCTTTCCTTTTTACACAGAGAAAAATACCAATTTTGAGTGGTTCCGAAATTAGTTTTAAATATGAAATAAATTGTATAAATACAAATATTATCAGATTATTCATGAAGCATTTTAAAGAATTTATTTACTAGACCACAAATTGTCCTAAAAATAGCTATACTTGATATTAAAACTGCTGCAAAACTGCTGCAAAACTTTTCTCCAGTGTACGCACCATCTCTCTCTCTCTCTCTCTGAAACTCGTTCTCTCTGCTGCTGCCAGGTCTAGAGTGCATTGGAAGAGAAGTTCGAAGACTATATCTATATGGTCCGCATGCACAACTGCCACCCCGCATTATACGTATGTATGTATGTATGAGCTCTTTCAGCGCTCTCCCGTGCGCCGCTGCTGTGTGTTCGAGGCGGAGAGTTGTCGAGCGGCTTGAATGTCGGAGCCACCGCTGCGTCATTTCAATTGCTTACGAACAGCGAACGCGAACGGTTCTCCTCTGAGCGGCCAAGTTTGAATTTCGAGAGAAGACTGAAACGATGCGCGTGCGCCGTGTGAATTTCGCAAAGTTTTGAAATCTCTTGAGATCTGTGAGATGTGCCCATAAACAACACACATATAAGACGTATAGAAAAACACAGTGCAAATTAATTAGCAAACAAGACAGGGTTCAAGACCAATTTGACGTGCCCATTGAAACGCCACTGGATTAGTTTCAAGACGTGCAAAAGTAAACAATCAAAAATTGACTGCAAAATGGTTCGCAGCCTGGCCCAGTGGACGAAGACGCTGAGCTTCCCCTCGCGTCTCTCGCCCAATCGCAACTCCAAGGACTGCTCCACATTGGCCAGTCCGGTGCCGCCGCCCACTCCGCCCAGGAACAAGGCCACCGGCAGCAATTGCGCCACATCGCGCTCCTCCTCCTCCACGGTCTCCTCATCGCACTCGTCCTCCCACAGTTCACCTACCCCAGGAAATAACAATAACAACATGCCCATCACGGAACTGGAACAGATTGTAAGTTTAATTTACCAAAATAGGGATTTTATATAGAGTTCTAAGGATTTTACGCATCTTACAAGAGGCAGTTTTAGGTAACGCTCTTTTATAACCACAGTTGGATTGATAGAAACATTAATGATCCTCTTATATTAAGCTAATAAACTCTAAGTGAGGCGTCACCAAACATTATCAGTTATGACTTGGTTTTCCATTTAGTTTTACGTAAAAACTAATCAATAAAGGCCAGAAAGCAATTTACAACATAACAGGGATCCCTTCTTTAACAATATCAGAGTCTTTTTCTTTATAAAAATGATCCAACTGGGAATTATGATATCTTAACATCCCGATATATGTAGATTATCAGGAGAACGCATCCGTTGTCGCTCTGAGGCAACAAAGACTTCCTGTTTTGGCAAGCCAGCTGTGCAAACATTTAACTCCGAAAGCCCCCATGAAATCGCTCCAGTAGTTATAAAAGCCGTGCCAAGTGATCCCTACCCCGGGTGCATTCCATCCATTCCACTCGAGCCCCGATAAAGCTCATTGACCCAGTTGAATAGCCAGCCCTAGCCCTAGAGGAGGCACCGGGACCAGAGACCAGATACTAGGGCTTAGCCGCCAGTTATCATTATCAATCAATCTGTTTCGTAAAGCAAATAGGCGTATGTGGAGCGCGGGACGTGAACTGATAGCGGATTTCCACACTTGATAGGCGGGCTGACAACTATCGAATATGTTTATGGGTTTTCCCCGACCAAATCGGGTGCAATTAAGCCCCCACCGTTTGACGGCCAAGTTGAGAGCAATTTGCCAAAGCCGGGCGACAGATTGCTACGCTCCGCTCGCTCAAACATATGGCAGGAAAATGGAAATAAAAAATCTCAAATAAATCGAAATAAAAATGCGAGGGGCAAACAGGATGTAGACACACTCGACCGGGAATGTTTTAAGGGACACAGGCAGGACGGGACGATCTTGGGCGACAACATGTGTGCACAACGTGGCCGACAATTGGGAAGAGTTCCAGGCAGCGAAAGAAGATCCGAATCCGGATCGGATCTCCACGAAAAAAAGGTTTACGGGAAATATAGAGGGGCATAAACACAGTCTGTTCATTTAAGGAAAACGAGAAGAAAATTACCTAGAAATTACATGAAAGTTTGTGGGAAATAAATAAATAAAGGGATATATGTACTAAAATCTAAACATTGAAGAATTATGAATAGGTTCTTGAATGATTACTCAGTTACTTTATGTTTACTTTTTATGAATTGCTAGTCATTGAGGAGTAAAATAAGCAAAATAAGCTTTAAATTATTGTCAAATAAATTGGTTTCTTGTGAAGGAGTATCTTTACCTCTCCATTTCAATGCGGATTTGTGTGGGCCATGCAATCAGGATTCGCGTTAGTTCGATTTCGCTGACATTCTTTCGCAATCCGCTTGGGACATTCCCAACGGTCGGTGGATTCCGCAGACGAGAGCTGCATTCATTGGCGGATGCAGACCCAGACCCCAGTCCCAAGACCCACTGCGAACCACACCCACGCGGCACGACTGAGTGGCGGCGCTGGCTCGAAAAACAAGAAAACAACACATAAATAATGAAAATTTGAGTGGGCACGAGCATGCCACAGTTTTCATCGGCGGAAAATCGTGACCAGCAGCTGCGAGGCGCCGGCGACGCATCCGCGGAAAATGCCAAAGTTGAAGAGCACCAAAGGCACTTAGCCCAAACCGTTAGCAGGCGCCGAGCTGGGCTTATGTAAGTCAGCTTCGCATTTTTGCCATTTGCGAAAAACAAAACAGAAACAAATCAGCCAAGAAAAATCCGAAACAAAAACAAGTTTCTTGTTTTGGTTTCGGGTCTTAGACTAACGAAGCGATCGGAAAAGTTGCCCAACGGCTTTTCAGCTGCAACGGCCGCTGCTTGAGCTGCTGCGGTGCAAAGTACAAACATCCTTGGCCAAAGGTAAACCAGTTAACCAGTTCCAGTTGCCACCGGCCATCCCGACCAGTAACCGACTGCTGACGGGGGCGTCCACTGCCCTGCTTCACCTCCTCCGCCTCTGGTCTGATCCCAGCCGCCAGTCCCTGGGATCGGCATTCCTGGTATTCCGCAATTACAACCCGTTAGGTCGCGAGATAGGAACTTCCGTCTGCGGGAATATTTCCCACCGATCCGCAATTGATTGGCGCTAATCCCGTTGCACACTGGGAGAAGTCGTTCATTTATGCCTATAGCATCACTCAAGTCCTTATCCTATCAATGTCATTTGGAGATAATTGTATGGGAAATTGGTTAATTTAAACTGAGGCTTAAATATAGTCACCTTTGATATTTGAAAAGGAGATGGACCCTTATCAATAGTGGAAATAATACACCATATTGTGTTGCCAGTTTGTAGAACGTGCTGAAAGCTTTGCTTCGCATTCACCACAACCTTTTCGCTTTCGATTAGCAGTCAATTAACATACTGCTGGTAATGACACATTTCGCTACGACGCTGACTCAACGGATCTCTGGGGACCTTGTCAATGCGAAATAATTTCGCTAATGACGGCAAGAATTTCGGCCAGAGTCTGACGACCCCAGAGAAACCACGGCTAACTGCATTTCCTGTCGCTTTCCACAGGCAGACAAACAGCTGCCAGCTAAACACAAAAAAAGGTCAGACCCGCATGGAAAAAGAGCCACAGAGCGGCAGCTGCCGCAAAGTTCACCTGCCTGCCACCACCACCTGACGAAGTAGTTTGGCCAACACGCTGTGGGGCTACTTGAGTGGTACGAGTAATCAATGGAAACTAGAACATCGTTGATCTCAAATGGGGGAATCACAGTCATAATTCAGCTATTTCTTGCAGCAAACGCATGCAAATCCATCACTAAAAACAGCATTTACCATGGGACCCACAAATTGCAGGTGCGACAGAGAGCGCTGGTGGTTGTTACCTGTTTGGAAATCAGCTGCTCTGCTCCGCTTTGTCCCCTCCCTCCCCTCTCTCGCTCAGGTGAAACCAGTTTCTGGCTTTGGCCATGTTTTGTTTTCGTTTTTGTGTTTGTATTTTGCAGCTGTCTGGCCATTGTTGCTGCCGCTGCACGGCTATTGCTGAAATTACATACTATATAGAGAGTCGATGTCGAGATCGGAGAGTATTTTGTGGAAGCTTTGCAAAACTGCGCATCAGCTGTTTTGCTCGCTGGCTTCCTTTATGGCCAATAAAATCGCCATCGCTGCACTTTTTCAGGTTCCCCGGGCAACCCGAGTGTATTTATTAGGTCAGAGCAACACCCATGCCCATTACGTTAGCGATCTGTGCGACAGTGAGACAGTGCGACTGTGGGAAGTTTTGGCTCTGGGCAAACACACCGAAAAGTCGATCTAATTAGTGTTCCAGCTGCGGGTAAATATCAAAAACATTTAGCACAGTTTTCATAGAGCTTATGATGTTGACATTGTGGCTGCTGAGAATTTCTTCGGTAAACACCAGCCCGAAACCGAAACTCTGAATATAAAAGCTAATTCCAATGCTCACGTACCAAATAAAAAGCATGCCAGGGGCTTTCTGGAAGAGGGGTGCTTATGCCACAGACCCATGCCAAGTCCCCCGGCTCCGGGACTTTGCTTTTGTCCATTGCGTTACACAAATGAACGTCAACATATTTTGGTTGGGAATATTCTGTGTGTTAACTGAGCAAACGGAAGTTCTCCCAGCGGGGAATCGAGCGGAGTGTGGGGGTTACCTACCAATAATAATGGAAGGTGCTAAGTTCCCCATCCATCCCCATGAGCAGATGATCTTTCGGTTAGCAGCGACCCGAGAGATCGTGCTCCGCGGGAGAATAATAGAACACTCGGAGTGGGCACACTAGATAACGATTGTATTCAGATTGGGTTCGAGATTCAGTTATCAGGCACAAAGCGAAATAATGGAGAATTCCGGCTCATTAGCCCATGGAGTTCTTTGTATTTATGTGTGAACATGTAATAATATTTCCAAAGTTTATTAACTAATCGCTGCTGCTGCTGCTGCTCTATAATGGCCTCCAATGAACTATCCCTGGAGATCCCCGCATATCTTCGAAACTCATTTGGATAATGGCAGACAAACAAATCTGTTTTCCCAACGGACTGCAACCCTTCAAATTAAAGTGCCTCCCAATCAATTTGTCTATTAATAAAGCCCCAAGAGTGCCAGTACCAGAAACATGACCAAAAACAACCGAACCCAAAGTTCGGGCCGCTCGAAACTTTCAACAGAAGCATAAACAATGCCTTGGCATGGGATGTGGTTGGATGTCTGATTGAAGCCAGGCCAGTGGAGACCATAAAAGCCTTAAAAATAAAACAAACTTCTTTGCCGATGAGCGCCTTGAACTTTAGGGGAACTGGCCTGCCTTTGGAGGTGGAGTGGAGAGTTTCCAAGTAGGAGGCACATGTCTTACACGGAATCGAATGAATTCGATGTCTAAAATTATAAAATTGTTTTCCTGCCTATTTCTAACTCAATTTTTATGATCCGCCGTTGGCCCTGCAACTGCACCGTGCTCCGAAGTGGATGCGGAGGGAACTGCCACTCCAGGAGACTCCAGCCGGGCGTCCAATAAAAATAAAACAAAATGCGCCAACTGCTGTTGCTCATAAATAATCACTCTTTTTCTCTGTTTTTGGATTTTTGGTTGCTACTTCCACTTTCGTTGGCCCCGAACATTGATTTTGTTTGGAGTTGCTTGTCCGTCTGTCCGTCTGTCCGGCTATCTTTCTTTTTTATGTTATTTTTTAATTACCTCGGCCTGAAATTTGGCCACGCTTTCGTGTTCGAATCGGAATTTCAATTGCTTTCGTCTGCGGCTTTACATAAGAACCAATCAAACTGAATGATCAGTTGAATAACGAAATATTCTTTATTTCCTAGCGATTTGGCATTAGGAAAAAAAGCAAAAGTTGCCCAAAGATCGAATAATTATATAATCATCCGACGAAATCCGGCAAACGACCTCTGTGCCGTCTCCAGCCATCTTTGTGTGGTCCCCGACTGATGGCTTGGGGATGTGGAAGTCAAAGTAAATTAACCTTAACAGAGCGGCAAGTAATTGCCACTAAAAAAAGTCTTCCTCTGATCCCCTCGTTTTTTTCCGCTCAGAGCATAATTGTTTTGTTTCTCCGTAAACATTTGGGGCCGGTTGACAAACAGTTGGGATTTGGGGGGCAGCTTTTGATCTCTGATCTCCACGGATGCGACTGCATCCAGTACATGATACGGGACTGTAAACACCGGCCATTTGTTTACAGCTCCTCCGATTGAGTGGCAGTTACTTCCTCGATGCGATCACTGCTGTGGGTGGTTCGCTCTTCGATTCCAATTCCAATTTCGATGTCGATTTTAGGTTCAAGTCCGAAGGCCCAATTGGTCCATGGCCCCATCGAGAGTTCATCTACGATGGGCAGCAGTTCAGCAGAGTTGACATGAGACTGCGCAGCGGAGAAACAGAGCACAAAACTCGTTTTCGAGTTAAACGAAATTACCAGCAAAAGGCGATTCCATAGAAATAATATTTTATTTCATATCTTCAACTGTGCCCATTCGGAGGGGCACATGGGATCCGAGCATGACCGCGCTGCCGTCGAGCCCCTCTCCCCGGCCATGTGTTAATTGCTTATTATATCTTCGCTTTAATGTCGCCTCTACGCGTTTGTCTCTGGGACCAGAACCAGATGCAGCAGCGACATGTTCATTTATCAAAAGTCAAGCCACGCTCTGAACCGGCGCCCTCTCCCCTGGGCCCTGCGACAAACTCCAGATAAGGTCAATTAAAAGAGTCAACCGGAAATGTCGCGACGCTCGGTTAGGAGCATCGGATCCCAGCTCCGACATCTCTCTTCTACTCCGAATTGGTTTGTCCTCTCATCACATTAATGGTCTGTCAAATATATATCGCTATATCGAGGAATTTCCATAGCCAAATGTGGGTGGCATAGAATGGGGGCGTTTTAATTAGATTAGGCGTCCGGAGCAAGTCGTAAATATATTCGCACAACAACGCCATTTATTATTTTAATCTACCGGATGCAAAGTCGCACTCTCTGCCGGGCCCCGGCAATTAAAAGCATAAACTGCAGTGCAGAAAGAAAAACTGGGGAGCAGAACTAGAAGCGGGTGCAGTTCTTCAAGCCGAAACCCGAAGAATGGGCAGAAAGGCAGTCAACGATGGCAATGGCGGTACCTAGGCACTTGGACGCTTGGGAGAAGTTGGGAGAGCGCCCAAAAAGAACGTTAGAAGGTAGGACAGGAAATGCCTGGAACCTGAGAAGCAGTCATGTGTAAAGCAGTTGACGGTTGGTCCGAGGAAACTGTCGAGGGAAATGCAGCGAGCGAGGTGGAAAAGGTGCCAGGCAGGTAGCCGGAAAATCAATATCAGTCATTTACTGGATAAACAACAATGACGAGGGATCAGGAGATAAGCGGTGTTAGTGGCATCTTTTGCTTATCAGCTTGGGAAAGCAAATTTCAATCATATTTAAAAGGAAGAGGCGTCTCTCCAAACTCATTAGTTTCAATTTACCGTCCGAAATCGCTTTCTCAATGTCTTTTTGGCAAAACTTTGTTAAACGGAGAAGTATTTTGAGTGGTAATGGGGTATGGTGTTATATTTATTGATACGTTTTAAGATCAATTACTATATTTAACTTCATTTCCACTTTTTAATATTTTTATTGACCGCTTTCTTCATCTTTCATTTGCAGATTTATCCCGGCCCCGACCCCATCATGGGCTCCCTGGTGTTTTGCATCCACCACAAGCAGGGATGCAACTGGTCCGATGAGCTGCGCAAGCTAAAGGCCCATCTGAACACCTGCAAACACGACGCCACCCAGTGCCCCAACAAGTGCGGAGCGCAGATCCCACGCACCATGATGACCGATCACCTGCAGTACACCTGCATCATGCGGAGGACTCGCTGCGAGTTCTGCCAGAGCGAGTTCTCTGGCGCCGGGCTCGAGGAGCACAATGGCAGCTGCGGCCAGGAGCCCGTCTACTGCGAGGCCAAGTGTGGCCAGCGGGTTCTCCGCGGCAGAATGACCATTCACAAGTCCAAGGACTGTGCCAAGCGTCTCCGGCGCTGTGCCCACTGCCAGCGCGAGTTCTCGGCGGACACCCTGCCCCTCCATGCGGCCCAATGCCCCAGGGCTCCGTTGACCTGCCCCCAGAGATGCGATGCAGGTCCTATCGCCAGGGGTGAGCTAGAGGCCCATCTGCGGGACGAATGCCAGTCGCTGGCCGTGCCCTGCAGCTTCAAGGAGGCTGGTTGCCGCTTCAAGGGCCCCCGCCAGATGCTGGAGGCTCATCTCGAGAGCAACGCCGCCGCCCACCTCTCCCTTATGGTGGCCCTCAGCTCCAGACAGGGCCAGCAGATCCAGATGCTCAAGTCCGCCGTGTCCAAGCTGTCCATCAACTACACAGGCACTCTGCTGTGGAAGATCACCGACTGGTCGGCCAAGATGACAGAGGCCAGGGGCAAGGACGGGCTGGAGCTGGTTTCGCCGCCCTTCTACACCTCCCAGTACGGCTACAAGCTGCAGGCCTCAATGTTCCTCAACGGCAATGGTCCCGGCGAGAATACGCACGTATCCGTGTATATCAAAGTCCTACCCGGAGAATACGACGCTCTGCTCAAGTGGCCCTTCTCCCACTCGATCACATTCACGCTGTTCGAGCAGGGTGCCCAGAGCGGCCAGGGTGGCGTGGCGGAGTCGTTCGTCCCGGATCCCACCTGGGAGAACTTCCAGCGACCATCGAACGAACCCGACCAGCTCGGATTCGGCTTCCCGCGCTTCATCTCCCACGAGCTGCTGCACAGCCGACCCTTCATCAAGAGCGACACTGTGTTCCTGCGCGTCAAGGTGGACCCCAGCAAGATTGTGGCCGTCTAGGGAGCAGATGAAGTAGCATCCCACCCCTAGCTTAGACATTTACTCGACTTGTGTAAATACTGTGTATTTAAATTTATGAGTAAATCGGTAGCCTAGCGTAGTCTAGACTGTACAGTCCCAGCGGCAGCTTCGGGCGATGTTGGCCAACAAACGCTAACTGGCCTTGGAATGCCGCTCGCTGGACCACTGCGGCATAGTCATATTCGTATCGTTAAGGTTTTTGCAGTGCTGGAATTGAACCAAAGCATAATTACACGTAATGATCATTTGTAACGCATCCAATACATCCGTAAATGTACGCCTAAGTTCGTGTCTTAAGTCTTTTGTTTAGAGATGTGTATTATTGCGCGCAATGCGATCACTTTCAAAAGATCTTCAACTAGACCGTACGCTCAAAATCAGTTAGTCCATAAGTTGCATGTACATAGCCTAAAAATCGGAGCAGCAGCAGCAGCATCAGCCGCAGCGACCGCAACTGCAGCACCTGCAGCAGCAGCCACAGACCTAGTTATAGTTGTAGCACCTACACCCGGTTAGATAGTCGCCTAAGCCAACGCATTAGTCATTAGTACCCTGAACAAGAACATAAACACGAGAATCCAACTTTCAACATAGTCAAATAAGTTTATGTTTAAGGGAGATGAGTCAAGCATACAATAAATAAAATACCTTAAAACATTTTAAATATATACTGTTTTATTTCCTTGTTCCATAGATAAAGGTATGTACAGCTTATCCAGGCGTAGAACTGACATGATAAAATATAATATACAAAATATTTTATGCTTATTCAAGTCAAGTGTCCCAAGTATCAAGATCTTTGTGTGTTTTTGGCATAACAATTGAATCTTCACTTATGTATCGTAGGGAAATATCACACATAAAGGCCGCGTTCAATATTATTTAGAAATTATAGTAGTGTATATAATAAAAAACAAGAAAGAAGGTAATTTCGGCACGCCGAAGTTTATATACCCTTGCAGATAGAACTTCGATGACTTCCTGGATTCCTTCCATACAATATAAAATATATATATATTAATGTTAAAAAACAATGAAGTAATACCTGCTCTCATTTCATTCACCTATACATATTATATTTTCAGTTTTACATTCACAGATTTGCATTTTTGCTCCACATCAAACGATCGTTTGTATGGCACCTATGTGATATAGTCGTCCGATTTTCATAAAATTTGCAACAAAATTTAAGACTGATATAAAATGGCTATATTTCAAATTTAATGAAAATCTGCTAAAAACTGAAAACGTTATAATTTTTAATTGTATTCATTTTTTGATCATTCGTGATAAAGTAGTCCGGTTTTTTTTATAACTACACAAAATTTAGATTAAAATAAAATGATATTTGATGAAAATCTGGTGAAAACTGAAGAAGTTATAATCTTTAATTTTATTAACTTCTTTTATTTCTTATAAAATGGCTATGTATCAAATTTGATGAAAATCTGTTGAAAACTGAAAATGTTATACTTTTTAATTGAATTAATTTCTCGATCGTTCCTATAGGGGCCATATGATATAGTCGTCCAATTCTCATAAAATTGTACACAAAATTGTAGAATTATATGAAATGGCTATATCTCAAATTTGATTAAATTCTGTTGAAAACTAAAAATGTTATAATTTTTTTTGTAAACATTTTCCGATCATTCCTATGGCAGCTATATGATATAATCGTCCGATCCGGCCCGTTCCGACATATATACGAGTGAGAGTATATAGAAGACTAACTGCAAAGTTTCATTCAGATAGCTTCAAAACTGAGAGACTAGTTTGCGTAGAAACGGACAGACGGACATGGCTAGATCGACTCGGCTGTTGGTCCTGATCAAGAATATATATACTTTATATAGTCGGAGGTGCCTCCATTAAGTTCATGACTAATGTGCTTTTTAAGATATTATCAACTTGACTACCTTGCTCAAGTAAATCTTAGTCAAATTCCTCGTTTGACTCTGGGTCCATCTAACTAATTAGCTCTTGGTCGGAAAACTCATCCACGATCGGATCGTTCTTTACTAGGAACTCATAGATTTCCGTATCCTCTGTTCCTTCTGCCTTAACCTGGACCAAATAAGACCTTTTGCCCTTAATGTCTGTTATTTTGTAGACTTCAATCCTCCAATATTTTCTTCCTTCACGTGGTGGCCTTTCTCACGGCTTTGCCCACTTCAAGAAGCTATCTGCGAACTTTTGAAACAAGAATGGCAAATGTATCCCAGAAGTGAATCTACTTTTTCAACGAGACGAGAGGACCACAGAGCGATCATATCCGCATTCGTCTCTGCGTTCCATCAAATATGAGAATATTTTATCTCGATTTATTCAAGCAAGTGCGGCATACGTTTTCCATTTTCATAAAGCGAAGTAATTATGAGTGTATACAGCTTACAAAATGCAACAAATAATCAATTTTCCGGAAGTTCCTCAAATCGTTTGCTTCTCTTTTTGAATTCTCTCGAAGCTACACTAACCACCCTGTGACAAGCAATCACCATGATATCGATATCGATATCGACTAGGTACTATTGCAGTTTTTGAAAAAAGATTTAGATTTGTGTGATTAAATATTATTACAATCTATTAAATTACTATTTTACTATTATTTTAAATAACCAAGGGTGTTTTTTGGTGAAAGTATTTCTTACTGCCAGCATTCAAACATTTTAGCTTGTTAATACAGAAAAGGCGAAGGTTTATTCAGCATTTGGTAGACTTGGATGGACTGCAAACAATACGAAAGTAAACTACAGAACTATGGTTATAGTATTCAACCCAGAAATATACAATTAATTATGTAAATGTTTTAAGAATATTGTCAAACTATCATATTACATGCAAACGCAATGGAATGATGTCAGAAGAATGATAACTAGTAGGTAGGTAAACTAAGGGAACCGCTTCTTTAGCAGACTCTCTAGCTTTCGGATGCCCGTCTGGGAGCTGCCATCGGCATTCTTATCTGCACTGCCCGTGAAGCTCCCTACGCTGAAGATGAACGCGCGCTTGGGTGTTGATGACGATGCTGTCGTTGTCGAGGTGATTGAGCTGGATTCGGCTGTTCCCATCGATTGTTCCGATTCTTCAGTGGCTGCGACAGCTCCCGCTGCAGGGGCCTCTGAGCATTGGGCATCTTCATCTGCAGCCGTCGTCTCTATTAGGCCACTAACCGCTGCTGCCGAAGCCGTGTGTTTGAATAGATCGATAAGTTGCAGCTGATCTACCCGCTTGACCGCCTTCATATCCAGAATCTTTTGATACTCCGCAATAGTGATATCTGGAAGCAGCTTCAGGACCTGCTGGGTGAAGTGTGCCGGCGGCTGGACCGGCGTCATCACTACCTTTATAATCATTTCGGCACGCGTCATGTCCTTGACGACCACCTTGGTATAGCTGGTGGGCGCCTTGCGATTCACGCTAGACCCCACGGAAGGTAGCTCCAGGAGAGCAGTCTTTAGCGAATGGGTGTCCAAGAGTAACTGCTCGCAGCCTAGCACATTGTTTGAGCCGTCCGAGAGCGTCAACTTGCAGCGGTAAAGCACGTTGATGAACTTCGGTATAAAAGCGGCAACGAACCGGTGACAGAACTGCGTGAAGTACTTGCGCGAGCTGGCCAATGTGTCCCGGATGGTGGGCACCGTTTGCTTAAAGTTGGCGCAGATGCTGCTGATAAAGGCGCTCTGGTCGCCCACGTTGTTGATGTGCTGCCACTGCACCTTGGACATCGCCTGAAGGGAGGCCTCACAGCCGGCCTCCAGATCCTGAATCAACAGCTGGATACAGTTGGAGATGATGCTGTATGGGCAGGAGTTGAATAATGATTTTGAAATTAAGAGAGTGAGGGTCAACTTACCGATGAAACACATCCTTCTCCTCGCTCATGTCGATCTTGCTCACGTAGGCGGAGGTCACCTTCTCCTTCAGCTTATCCTCCAGCTGTTGGACCGTCTCCAGGCAATACTCGCCGGTGGTCAGAACGTAACAGATGCGCATCAAGTCGTCGCGTGAGAAGCGCTGTGTGTCGCCCTCCTTAAGGAAATTGTGGAACACTTGACCAGCGGCCGTCGACAAGTTCTGCATGTCGCGGGTAAGCAATGAAACGCTCTTGCCAAGGGAGCTGCCCGTAGTGGTTGGCACCAGCTTGGGAGTGCTGCCTTCGAGCACCTTGGCGGCGTATTCCCGCAGATACTTCTTGAAAACCAAGGCAAGGTCGTACATGGGCTGCTCATTGCTCAGCTGGTTGCACTGCACCATGCACTTTTTATAGAAGACAAACAGATCTCCGGAACTGGGGTACACGGTGGTCTTGGACTCGGCGAACTTGAAAGGCTCACGGGACATCTCCACGAACTTATCCATCAGCTCTGCGAGGTTGCGATCGATGCTGCGAATGTAGATATCCAGGTGTGGCTTAAAGCACTGCCCGATTTGGTCGTGAAAGATGGTGACACCCATGGGGGCATCAGCTACCGATGGCTCTCCTAGAGCCCGCGCCTGATCCGTCGCCGTGGCTCCAAGCGTGACTCCTGTGAAGCGCTTGGACAGCAGCTGCTCAAAGGCCTGTGTCTTATTGATGGCGAACAAAAGAAGCCGCACGTCGATCTCGTTGCTGCGCTTGGCCATAATCTGCGAGAGCTGGTCGCGAGTCTGCCGGCAAAACTCCACAGTAATACGCTCGGACACCTCCCAGTCTAACGGGAAGACCGGACCGTACTTGTCCTCGAATTCGAGGAGATGGCGCTTGAGCCAGGCGTAACGCTTATCTATCTTGTCTAGCCAAGCAATGTCCTGGTTCTCATGGAACAGGTGCATATACTCCTCCAGCTGCTGGGCAATGAACCACTTGAGCAGCTCCTTCTTTACCTTCGGATCGAGCACCGACATCACCTTGCAGGCATCAGCCAGCTGGTTTAATCCCAAACGATGTTGGTTTTGTCCGGCAGGCTTTGCGGAAAACGCATCTTTAAAATCCTCTGTAATTTGTTGGGCCAAGGTAACCTGGATTTTGTCCACGCTCTGGGAGAGATTCTGCGGGAGAATGGTAGTTAGTAGCCGCTCTCAACTGGATATCCAACTTGCCTTGATCTCCTCGATGTCGGAGAACTGCTGGAAGTGCTGGTTCACCTCAGTGATGGCCTGCAGAGGATTCAGGATTTCGCCATAGGATCGCCGCTCGATGAGCTTGTTCAAGCTGTCGATCCCGCCCACCAGCATGTGTAAATGGTTTAGCGTAGTAATGGCAGCGGTGAGATTGCGCTTGGCGCAGTCCAACTGCTTGATGTCCCGGGTGATCTCCTTGACCATCTCCTCCGTGCGCTCTGCCCGCGACTTTACGTCGATGATGTGGCTGAACAGCGAGCTGATGACTTTTTGGGCCTCACACAGCGCCACCTGCCCATCCTGGCCTGTGTTCGTCTGGCCACGCACCACGGACCGGATGTTGTCGTCAATCAGAGACACCTCGCACTGCATTTTCTGGATGGTCTCGTCGATGCCCACCAGAGACTGCTCGTTAGGAAAGAGCTGATTTATGTAGTCCACAGTGTTAAAATCAGGTGCATCCATGGGATCGTCCGTTTTTAGGACCTTATCGATGACCTGCTTTACTTCCTTGGAGAAGTGAATCTTGTTGTTCGCCACCATTCTCTCTGTGACGGCTCCGTCGGCCTCCGGAGCCACGGCAGCTTCGCTCATATCGCTAATTTCTGTTTAAACTTGAAAAAAAAATTGTTATTTCGGTAAAATATGTCGTGAACGATAAGCGAAATTCTCAGCTGTTTTCGCAAGCGGATGAGTGTGGCCGTTCTCCACTTAATGCATCGATGAGTATTGTCATCGAAATTTAAAGGGATGGCGGGAGGTTCTGCACATCCTTTAGAAATAGACAAAAAATAAACTCTCAGTTCGATGTCATAGTCAAGAGGAGAGTTAATTAAAAAAGGCCTTGCTGAGAATGGAATCTTTGACGATGAAACTGAGAAAACCAGTATTCAAATCTATTGGGAAATAATACTCGGCGTACAGAGTTCAAGATTTGCATATCTTTCATTCATGATCAAACTCAGAAAGTAACCCCAACCGTCAATTGCTTACAACTATCAATATTTGTTTGCACTAATTTTCAGATGTTTTTTTATTTAATAAATTACTGAGAAAAGAGAGAATTGCTAGTCGGACCAGAGCTGGAGCCCGCAATCGAGGCACTCAGCATAGAAGTATCCCTCTGGGAAGCGGTTGCCGTGCGCTGGTAGCGCGCTATGTGGTCTAGAGAATATGGCAATATGGGGCGCACGCTGTGGATCTCCAACAGCGTTAGATTGTCCAGCTTAGCATACGTGCCCTCTCCCTTGATGAAGGCGTCGATTGAAGTGCGAAGCTTGGACTCGCGAATATCGAAGATGTCCTTGATTAGGGTGCGCAGCTCCTCGCAGCGGGGCACATCATCAGGAGCCGTACTCATCACCAACTGGGCCACCACCATGTAGTGCTCGCATGGCATTTTTGTGAAAAATCTAAGAACGGACAGATTGTAAATAATGCTATCTAGCGGCACTGAAATGTATAAATACTTGGACCGTTTCTCCTCCTCCTTTATATCCTCAAGTATATCCATATCCATCCATTCTGGAGGCACAATTCGGCACTTCTGTTGCTTGCGCAGGTGCGTCGCCATCCATAGGGGCACGAAAACCGGGAAGCCCGCCCGGAAAGGCCCAACAGAGCCGTAGATAAGATGCAGCGGCTCGTTGGAAAAGTTTGGAATGATGCTGATCATGCACTTTTCACCAATAAACTCAATAATTGCCGGATCCATAGTTGCAATGCCAAATGTAAACAATAACAAAATATATACAACTGCGACAGTCACTTATCGATCTAGTGATGGAAGCAGCCGTCTATCGATCACAAGTTGTGGTCCGAAGAGTTTTGCAGGATGGCAGCACCGCCGAACAATCGACCGTTAAAAATATATTTTTGTTTCTAACAAATTAGCCTGCATCACGACACCGTTGCCTGAAGGCTCTGCGTCAGAGTGGTCACGTCAAACTATGGACGTCTACGGCTTAATAGCCCTATAGTAGCAACAACAAATTTTTCGCTGTAATACAGCGACCTACGAACGGACGGGTTATCTGCCGATCTCCGGGAAGATCGCATCGCTGCATCGCTGCGACTAATGGCTTCGACTCAGCTGACTAATTTGCGCTCCCGGTGCGAAACTGTTATTGCAGATTCCGGCTACGACTACGCCAACTATCAATCACGTAAAAAGCCAGCCGGTCGTCGTGATAACCGCATGAATGCCAAACATGATCAAGCGTTCAAGTTCAGGCTATATATAAGTTTTCCACATTAATAATATATAAGCTTAACGGCCAACCCTAATCCCTTGCACCACTCCGCCTTTAGTCCGTAACTATAGTGCACTAGATAACGATGTAACAACGATCTTATCATTATCTTTCTCAGCAAACAGTGGGCCAAATATGACTATTTTCCTGGTTAAGAATTTCAGGAATGACGGTCACGACAAGGTTAGAAGCCTATTAAAGTGCAGTCGCAGTCTGCAGACTTCAAACTTCGATAGGGAAACGAAAATAGAAATAGAAATCTTCTGTGTACAATTCGGATGTTCTTTATAAGACAGCCCAAAGCGTAAACAACAGCATCGATTTGTTGACTTATCGCATCGAGAGACAGCATTGACGCGGGCAGGCGGAGGAGCTGGAGCTGGAGGCTACTGCTGCCGTTGCCGTGAAATGTTCTCGAGCTGATAATACCAGGCGCGGCCAGTTAATTCTAGAAAACTAGCCTCAATTTGAAAACTGTGGCTCTGAAAGATGACCTCTCGCCCCTCCGAAAGCACCCCTTTTGTAAGGTATAAAGTTGCCCCAAAGGCTGGCTTGCATCCGAAAGGAGCAAAAGTCTTGGGACTTACAGTCGGATTCGGACTCGGGCAGTCTCTACGGCACGTTTCACACACAGCCGTAAGAAAATCAGCGTAATCAGCGGGAGAATAGAAGCTGGATTTTCTGATAAGACAGAGAGGGCGCCGCCACTGTGGACTGTGTGGACCCAAGGGGGTGGCGGCGGACGAATGGGATGAGCGATCGAGGCGGATTAATTTTTAGCAGAAAAGTGCGACTTGAGCGGGTAAATGGTTTAGTGCTTGTCTATTTTCGGCAGGGTAAGGAGCTGCTGGCTCTCGCGACCAACAAACCAACTCCCTAACCCAACACAGCCAGGAAAACTGAATCAGTGCTTTCCAAGCCCTCAGTACTAGTAGAGATACGACCAGGTCCGCGAATTGCATCTGAGCGCCAGAAGTGATAAGAAGACAGCCAGCGGCTTTGGCTCGGGTAGTTGCTCTTGATTCTTCGACCGCATTTGAATCTGAATTTGGGTTCGGCATCAGCCCGTCGCTCTCTCTTTTGAACACAAAGGCTCGCAGAGCAGGCTCAGTGATAAGTCTGGGTCCAACGCAGACAGGTGTCTAACCTCCACATCTGCGAGAATTCGCATCGGCAGTGGCCAAAAATTATGTGCTAACTTCGATTGCACCCTTCAAGAGCAGACTTTGATCAGTGCAGCAGCAGCTACTTTCCGTTTGAAAAACCTATCTAGAAACGATTGCAATGCCCGACACGGAGATCATTGTGACCAATGCGGGTGAACCTTCCACCAAGGCGAGCCTAATCGTGGTGTCCAATCGACTGCCTTTCGTACTCATCCGGAATGCAAAAACTCAGGAGCTGGAGCGGAGGGCGAGGTGAGTTTTCAAATCCAGGATACGTTTAAGTACATATAGGATGTTTAGATAAATATGATTTGAGACGTGTCCTGAAAATGAAGAAATTTGATTGATAGTGAATTTTAAATTTTAAAGAGTACAAAAAAATGCAATATGATAACAAAAGTGTTTTGAGTGATGTTACATAATTTACCCGTACAATAAATTGGAAATTCGTGTTTGAAATATCTGCCATGAAAGGAACATTAATGAACAATTTAAAAAATGTAGAAGTGATGTCGATAGGAAACAAGCAAAACAGAATTAGAATTAACTTTTGAAGGATTTTCAATATCTGCTTAAATTATGGTTTTTAGCAGAGTCACCCTTTCTAAATCAAACACAGTGAGTCCGGCATCAGGGCGAAGTAAATAGTTAAATAAAATTATTTCAGACAAAGGCTTTTTTTTCAATTTGATGGAAATGAAATAGCTCGAACTTTTCCATGATTTCCATTCCACGAGTCGTAGGTCCGCTTATCAATATTCGGAAAGTAGGCTTTTAAAGCTCGGCATGGACAAACTTTCGTGTTGTTCGCACTCCCAAAAATCCAATCCAATCCCCAAGTAACCCAGTTCGATCCTCGAGCCCACAATTTGCATTGAAGATAAGCCCCGCCTTGCCACAGCCGCCGCCACCCAAGCAACAGAACCCCCAACCCACCCCATTCCATCCCTCAGCCAACTACATATGTGCTATACCTATGCCTCTCGGTTCATCTCGATCTCCGCTAGGTTGTCAACCTTATCAGCGCAAAACACAAAGAGAGGGAGGGAGGCGAGATGGGCAAACTCTCGGACAAATCAGAGCGGAGTCTGGCGATGGAATTAGAAAACAAATTCAATAATGATGGCAGGCCTTATCAGCGAGGCTCATTACGCGTTTTTGACCCTTCCGAGAGTCTGGGGAAAAGGGTCAATACTGAAGGCGTTAAACCAAGGCTGCTGTCGTCGACGGCACTGAACACTGAAATCTGAACCTGACACTGAAAAAGGTGGAGTCACGTGAATGGGATCGCCACGGCTTGAAACTGTGCCTCCCGGCTTTCCGACCTAGGCCAGGAACGACTTTTCTTTAGGGCTTCCACTCTTAAAGATTGTCTCCGGCAGGGACGGTCTGGAGATGTGTCCGTAGCTTGTTTACAATCGCGTATTTAATAATGGGCTCCTTATCAGCGCCCCGGTGTCATGCACTCTGCACAAAATGGGCTGGGTCCTCACCCATACACACTCTCGCAGCCCGTCCAGTAGTCCACCTCAGCACTTCTAGTACACCTTATGACGTACTTTTACTCCATGGCTGCGTCACTCAAAAGGATATAATTATATTATTGTCAATATCTTCGTTATTCGTTTTTTCGTTAAATAATTACTGTGTTACTTAAATATTTTAGTACGACGATGACCAATATCCATTTCTGTCTTTCAGTGCTGGTGGTCTCGTGACTGCCGTTTGTCCGGTGGTGATCAAGGGCAGCGGTCTCTGGGTGGGCTGGTCGGGCATCCACTTGGAGGACCCTAATGAGGCCATTCCCGAGTCCAATCCCAACGATCAGACGCCCACGGCCGGGCTCAAGTCTGATCAGGTTGTGTCCGTGAACATCAATTCCAAGATATTCGATAGCTACTACAACGGCTGCTGCAATAAGATGTTCTGGCCATTGTTCCACTCAATGCCGGGACGTGCCAACTTCGGAGGCGAGCACTGGCACGACTACGTGACCGTCAACAAGCACTTTGCCGTGCGAACTATCGAGGCGCTGGAGAAGTGCCTGGCCAAGAACGAGGGCAGCGACAAGAGCCCGCCCATTGTTTGGATCCACGATTACCACCTAATGCTGGCCGCCAACTGGGTGCGTGAGCACGCAGAGGAGAAGAACCTCCCCTGTCGGCTGGCCTTCTTCCTGCACATCCCATTCCCACCGTGGGACATCTTCCGCCTTCTGCCATGGTCCGATGAGATTCTGCAGGTGAGATCGTTGTCTAGAGTAAAGTTATTTCTCTCTATGGTCCGAAGGTCTCTGGAGGAAATGCAAGGCCTAATGTTTATTCTTGTTTCCCATTGTTATATATAATATATACTTTTCCTGATTTGTTTAGGGGATGCTGGGCTGCGATCTGGTGGGCTTCCACATCCAGGACTACTGCCTCAACTTCGTCGACTGCTGCCAGCGGAATCTCGGTTGCCGCGTGGACAGAAACAATCTGCTAGTGGAGCATGGCGGTCGCACTGTTCGCATCCGCCCACTGCCCATCGGGATTCCGTATGAGCGCTTCGTAAACCTGGCCACGACCGCACCCAAGGTGCTGAAGACATCTAAGATGCAGATCATCCTAGGAGTGGACCGGCTAGATTACACGAAGGGTCTCGTTCATCGCTTGATGGCTTTCGAGGCGCTGCTGCTTAAGTACCCGCAGCACAAAGAGAAGGTGAGCCTTTTGCAGATTTCGGTGCCGTCGCGAACGGATGTGAAGGAGTACCGAGAGCTTAAGGAGGAGGTGGACCAGCTGGTTGGCCGAATCAACGGCCGCTTTACCACCGCCAACTGGGCGCCAATTCGATACATCTACGACTATGTCAGTCAGGACGAGTTGGCTGCGTTATACAGAGATGCGGCAGTGTGTCTGGTCACTCCACTCCGTGACGGCATGAACCTGGTGGCCAAGGAGTTTGTGGCCTGCCAGATCAACGAAGTTCCGGGTGTCCTGGTCATCTCACCCTTTGCAGGAGCCGGAGAGATGATGCACGAGGCGCTGCTCTGCAATCCATACGAGGTGAACGAGGCCGCCGAGGTTATTCATCGAGCGCTGACCATGCCAGAAGATGAGCGCGTACTTCGGATGGCGCGCCTGCGCCGTCGGGAGGCCGAGTGCGATGTGAGTCACTGGATGCGTTGCTTCCTTAAGGCGGTAGGCGCTTTAGAAATGGACGACGTGGGCACCACTATCATGCAGCCAGTGTCAGTGGATGATTTCGATGACTACTTACTCAAGTAAGTTTATTTTGGCCTATGGAAACTGATGAACCACTTACCTGGATTTCCTATTTTCACCAGATACATCGGCTATAACCACAAGCTGGCTCTGCTGCTGGATTACGACGGCACCCTGGCCCCTATTGCCCCGCATCCGGATTTGGCCACGCTCTCGCCGGAGATTAAAAATGTGCTGTACAAGCTGTCCAACCACTCGGATGTTTATGTGGCGGTCATCTCGGGCAGAAACGTAGACAATGTGAAGAAAATGGTTGGCATCGAGGGCATCACCTATGCGGGCAACCATGGCCTGGAAATCCTCCATCCCGACGGAAGCAAGTTCGTTCATCCCATGCCCATGGAGTACGAGAAGAAGGTCAGCGATCTGCTAAAGGCGCTGCAAGACTCTGTTTGCCGCGACGGCGCCTGGGTGGAGAACAAGGGGGCGTTGCTTACATTCCACTACCGAGAGACGCCGAATCACCTGCGCGGCGCGATGGTAGACAAGGCGCGTTCACTAATTGAAAAATACGGCTTCAGGGCTACTGAGGCGCATTGTGCTCTGGAGGCCCGTCCGCCGGTGCAGTGGAACAAGGGCCGTGCCTCGATCTACATCCTACGCACGTCCTTTGGCGTCGACTGGAATGAGCGCATCAAGATTATCTACGTGGGCGACGATCTAACTGACGAAGACGCCATGGTGGTAAGTAACTTGGAGGGAATCTCTCACTTACTGACGACAGTTCGTAATAACCTTTTTTCTTTGATTCCTTTCAAAGGCTCTCAAAGGAATGGCGCGTACGTTCCGTGTGACATCATCGGATATTGTGAAAACAGCCGCCGATCACCGTCTGCCGTCCACAGACTCCGTGTACACACTTTTGAAATGGGTGGAGCGGCATTTCATGGGACGTAAGGCGCGCGCCAATTCGCTGACCTACAGGCCCACCAAGGGCGACGGTGTCCAAATGCAGATGTCGCTGGAGGTGGCCTCTTCGGCGAACAATCTAGAGGTGTGAGTTCACGCCCATATATATGCATACGCAGCTGCGTAACTCATATAATTTGTAAGATTTTTAAGAATAAAGAAAACAGAAAATCGTAGCTTAAACAAATGTACAATTGATTTCCGATTTTTTTGGTTACGCTATGGAACGTGCACTGTTTACTCTTGGACCTAATCACTAACTGAGCTAATTGTGGGACAAGACTAGCCAAGAGATGATGAAGAAGAAAAGGAAGATTGGGTAGACAGCCAGGGGCTTTCGGTGGGGCGGCTGACTCTGTCCCAGGAATACAAAGGAAGCTGGAAAGGGAATATGTGATTCTTTGTGGTAGAAAATGTGTAAAGTTTTATATTACCGTAGGTGGCCCAAGCGAAACCCATGGTGGTAGTCACGAATCGCAGGAAAAAGAGAAGGCGCGTCTGCGCGGCCAGCAATATCACCCGGCACACAATCAGTGAAATGGCCACCGGCGTCAAGCAGTAGCCCAGCACGCAAACGGACTGGAAGAACGAGCTAGGAAGACAAACTTTGTGAGCAACATGGAGGCATCGCCATAAACTACATACATGTTGCCACCCAGAAGCTTGGAGTTGAGTGTGACGATGGCCGCTCCTATCCAGACGATGACGAAGACCTGAGCAAACTCGGGGCCGTTGTCGGACATGCTGTCAGCGGAGGAGGAGCCCTGAAGTATGGTGGCCATGAAGGTGCACAGCACTAGCGGACCCCACAAGTCCCCTGGCAAGTGAGGTAACAGAAAAAGGTCGATTAGGAGAGTGCAATTGGATCCAAGCTGATGACGTACAATCGCGAAGCAGACTGGACTTCTCCTTAGGATACAGCACGTGGTAGAATTTGATGCCGACGGCCCGAATGTCACGCAGTACCGTCTCACGAATGGGCTCGTCCAGGGTGTTGTAATCCGGAACTCCGCCCGGCGACGTTGCAGTTGTTGTGGTTCTCTTGCCTGGAATGGACATATCACCCTCCAACGAAGGTGACGTGTTCACATCCTCGAACATCTGGGGGCAGGAAAAATATGTAGAGATTTATGTTTTTATTTCACATATTACTCACATCAAGCTTTGCATCCATCGTTGTCCTTAAAATCAGCTTAAATTAAGTTTACATTAAATACGTTTCTGCCACCTAACAAATAGTGTGCCCGTTTACAGTTTTTCATGTTACCCGAGGCAGTCTTTCGATAAATTCTAAGCGCCAAAAATGCTCGTGAATGTATTTTAAAATTTTGTTTCATTTCCGTTATTTTTTTCATTTTTTGATTTTGTATATGTAATATCATTATTGTGAAAATTTCAATCAGATTTTCTGATGAAACAAAATCGATAGAATCGATTTTTTGACAGCATCATCGACCGCGCAGACTTTTTAAAAACTTGGGAACTCTATTTATTCGAAATTCTAGGAAACTGACAAGTTTTGCAACGCCATTTCAAGGGATTCACACAAAGTTCAAGAACTCGCGATGAAGCTCCCGATTTCGGTTGATTCCTTTGATTTTAAAGACCCGTTCAAAGCAGAACAATTCGAATGGCTGCTCCAGTGGAGCAATCTTAATTGCTGCAATATGGACGTCTCCTCGGAACTTACGGATTTAGAAATGCAACTCCTATCCGCCAAAAGCCAGAATGAGCTCGTCCTGGAGCGAGATCAGCTATTGGTACAGCTCAAGGCCGAACAAGAAGAAAATTGGGAGCTCCAAAATGCCATGGAAAAGGTAACATACGATTACCAGTTCGCTACTTCCCAGAAGGATGAACTGACGATTGAGCGAGATGGCATGAAACTGCGATTGGAAGAAATAAATACAAAGCATCAATGCATCGTTGCGAAGTTGGAGGCACAGATCGGTTCAATGCAGACTATCATTTCTGAGTCGCAACAAGAAATAATAAAAAAGGAGCAGTTGCGTCGTCAATTGCTGAATGACCTCGAAGCACAAGAGCGGGTGCATCTGGAGGAAATAAACAAACTAAAACAAAATCTGGAGAACAACAACTTGGATAGCATCAGCTGCTCCATCTGCTTGGATGTCTGGACCGAGAGCGGTGACCATCGGGTCGTCTCTGTGGCATGCGGTCATCTCTTCGGTGACTCCTGTATTCGATCTTACCTTAGATATAATAGCATGTGCCCGATATGCCGGCAGGAGGCCTCCGTCGCAGATCTTCGCTACATATTTGGTCGCCGCATTTTGCCCGACCAACAATGATGTTAAATTATTAATTACAAATGTCTGTCAGACGTCAATTCTAATATTTAATTTTTTTTATTAAGTTCTCGAAGTGCCATTTCGGAATAATCTTGGAGCTTTGCCTTTTTTTGTTTACATGGATCAAATTCTTCCGAATTTCATTTTTTGTTATCCGAATTGCCGCGTAGGCTTATCTTAATTGTGAGATTAATAAAGCGGCAATGTGACGATTCCGAATAACTTACTAAGAATAGATGGAGTGCATTTTTTAATTAAGAATAAAAATTTAGTAAGAAATAATAAATGAGTCTCATTGTAACAGCGAAGAAGTATATAAGAAATGTGAAGAAATTGCTTAATTTTATAATAAAGGAAAAATTTATGTTTTAAATTTAATGTTCTTTGAAATTATGGGAATACCAAAAAATCTTAATAAAATCTTATAAATAGTGTTGCAATATTGATGCTTTCTTTTAAAATAAATAATATAAATAGCCAGTTTTAGCCGCTAGATGTTTACTACCAGCAACGACCGACGGTCATACTGCGCGCGTATGGAACAAACGTTCCGCGAACCCAAATAGAAAAACAAAAGCAAAGTTTGGAAACTATGCTGTAGACGGACACGATTACTTAAACTGCCGCAGCAGCACTTCGAGGAAAAATGGCAGCGAAGCAGTCGGAGAGGCCGGAGAAGCGGGAGAAGCAGGAGCAGCCGCAGCGTGGCCTCAGCACGAAGGTGGCGCTGCGGCGTCTGCAAGAGGAGATCGAACGGGTGCTGCTGGAACATGAGCGGCAGTGCGGCGCGGAAAGGTGAGTCAATCCATCCGTCGATATACGCTGATAACAGACAATCCCTTACTGCTCTCCCCCACCCAGCTCATATATAAAATTGCGAGCGGCGTTTGTTAAGCGCTACGACAGTCCGCTTGGTTGGCTTTCGATCGGTACGAGCCTACTGGCCAGCGGAGCCCTCCTTATCACGGGAATGCTGTGGCCCGCCCTGTGCCTCTTGGCCATTCTGTCGCTGGACCTTTTTGTAGTGGTCAGGGAAAACAACCTGAGGCGCACGGAGATCTTCAGAAAGACGCGCCATGCGCTGGCCGAACTCCGCTTGGCGGAGGAGCACTTCAGCGACGACTGGCAGTCGACGAACTATCCGCATTTGAGTAATCCCATGTCGCCATGCGTTTCCCTGCAGTGGACTTATCGTGACGGAATCGTAGTCAACTTACCGTGGGCGTTGTTGGTGCGCGGAGACTATATAGTCCTGCGACCAGGCCACATTTCACCCGGACCATGCTACGAGCTGGAAACGAACAAGTTCTTTGCCGCCAACGAAATTTATGGGGCCACTCCTCATGGCGATCCTCCCGTGAAGCCCGTTGCACGCCCTCCCCTGGCCGATCTCATTTGTTGTTTGGAGAGCACGCCGTACCTGGACAACCTTAGCGTGTGCCTAAAGAATTCCCTCAAGCGCCCGCCTACCATCTATAACCAGCAGCGTTATCTGGTAAGTAGATCTCGAAGAAAATGTTAAAACCACTTCTTATCTATGCTTACGTTGGCAGCTGGTAACCAAGTACATACAACAGTGGGGCTTCATTAGTGCTCTGGTCATTACGCTCATCTCGGGCCTGCTGCGTCTACACGGCTACGGGTTACCCACCGATGAAAAGCACAACTGGCGTTTTGTTCTCATCGAGTCCCCAGCAGCGGCCATAATACCCTTGTTGCCGTTGATTTTTCCGCTTATGTGGATATCCATGAATTTGTGGGGCATCGCTCGGCTGCAATGCTTTCTAAAGACGCCGCAGGTTGCCTCGGAGAAGAGTGCCAGCAAATCGTTTGAGGAGGACCTGGACACACCATCGTACGACTATCAGAACGTCTCCATGCAGCGTTCCAATGTGTTCCGCATCTGGATGCAGCTCTGGCGGGGCGACAGTGAACTCTTGCCGCGCTCGGCCAATCTGGTCCAGGTGCTCGGCTCCATATCGGCACTCTGCTGCGTGGATAAGAAGGGCATTTTGTCGTGGCCCAATCCTACGGCCGAGAAGGTATTCTTCCTACACAACACCGAAGATGAGCCCTACGAGGACGGAGTGGGAGGCAGTCAGTCGTCATCGCAAAGCGACAGTGACGATGGGCCAGATGTGGACGAGGATCTTAACAAGGAGCGGGGCATAGTGGCCGAGGTACTGGACCTCACACACGATCAGCACTGTCCCTTTCGGCTGGAGTTTGACGACCACGAGTGGAAGGCGCACATCAAGTCCCTGAAGCCGCTGGGTGACTATTAATCCTTTTAAGCTACGACATTAGCTTGTGACCATTCAAACGTCCTTTTAGGCCTGGCCATTCTGCTAAACACCTGCTCCCCGCTCACCCACGAGCACTACGCGCAGTTCTGCGGTCATGTCACCGCCGTGGCCATGCTGGACAAGGATCTGGTGCCGGTGACCAATCGGTACGCGTATGCATTAATTGAGTCCAGTAAAAGCTTTTTGCATGGGTACGTAGTTTCATTGCCATACTCATTGTTAGTTTCTGTCTAACCATATCGGATAGCATATATACTATACTACAGTATACATATGCCTACTTACATATATATAGTCTAATGATTTTCTCCGAAAAGTGGTATCTCGCATACCGTTGTTGCATCCCAAGCCAGCCAAAGCCCAATCAAATTAGAGTTTGTTTTGGGTATTTTTGATTTTTGAATCCAATTGGACGATTTCTCACACAAAACCAAACAAAGACAAACACACACAAGCGATTGGTAACGTTTTCTGAAAATTATCAGCGTAAGATAAAAGTATTTTTGATTTCCAGTAATTCGCTATTCCTCCTACTCCAACTCCTTGATCGATTAACTCCATAATTTCCCTGATTTTATCATTCGAGCCTTTTCTAATAACACTTAAACCTTGTATTGATATTAATTTTTGTTTGTACTCGTAAATCGACCCCCACTCTGCCCCTCCCCATTGGCAGCATGCTATTTTAAGTAACAAACATTCAAGAACGCTTAAATATAGTCGCCTCATGTCCATGCCCCTCCCCTGCCTGCCCACCGTCACGCTTGCCTGCTTGCATGCTCACGCACTGCCGTCGCATTATCAGTCGGCAGACGGAACCAGTTCTAATCGGTTGCTCCTTCCCATTTCGGTCCGACAAACAGACGCTGCCTCTGCGAGCTGGCCAAGCAGATCGGATTCACCGACCATGCCACAGATCGGTTTGCGCTGGAGGGACAACTGGCCAGCTACAGGCATTTGGTGAGTATGAAAACGACTCGACATATTCTTTAAAAGATGGGATTACTGTTTTCAAATATATTCGTTTAAGGCCAGAGAATGAATACCTATTAGAACTACGTATCCGATTTTGAATAGAATTATTCCAAGATAATCGTAAAATGCTGAGATCGGAAAGCCGAAGTTTATATACTTTTGCAGTTTGCAATTCAAATATTGGATCGTATAGGATATCGATCATAACAAAGCTTAAAATATTCGGTGTCATAGGATAGATATTTATATAAAATGTGTTCGACAAATTAAAGTTTAAATACCAGATGTTTTCAATTTAATTAATTTATATTTTACTGATAAGCCATTAAATTTGGAAGTCTAAAATACCCAGTATCTTAATTAAATCCTCCTCTGCCTTTTCAGCAACCTGATGTCGTGCGCAGGGATATTCGCTTTGCCCGGCAGCTGCAGCTGTCGTCAAAGGTGAAGGTTCCGTTTCCGCACTCCCTTTCGGTGGTAATGCGCGAGAATCCGGGCGGTTATCTGTCCCTATTTACACAGGGAACGGCCGATATTATCTTGGACTGTTGCGATGATTTCTGGGATGGCAAGGATCTGCGTCCGCTATCCCCGCAGGATCGGAAGCGGGCGTTAGACTTTTACCAGCGCAGTGCGCTAACCTCCTACTGCACAGCATTCGCCTATCGTCCCCTTAGGCACGGAATCCATGGAGCCCTAAGTGGTCCGCAGCAGAGTGGAGGTGACTGCCTATATCTGGAACTGCCGCCGGAGTCCAAGCTGCGCATGCAGCACGTGGACAAAACGCACTGCGACTTCCAAGGAGGGCACCATGTGAAACTCAGCCACAGCATCAGCACCGATTCGCTGCTATTCTCGGAGAACAAGGACGAAGACTGCAACGATGTTGAAGGTTGCTTCGAGATGCAGTGCCACCAGGTTTTCATCGGTATGGTGACCATGCAGTACCAGGCACAGAACGACATTGTTCGTCTGGTAGAGCACCTGGAACGAGCCTGCATTCGGTTTGTGCATTTTAGCAAGGAGAACGAGTTGCGTTCGCGGGTCTTCTCTGAAAAAATGGGCCTCGAATCCGGTTGGAACTGTCACATCTCGCTTCTTAGCGAACCCGAGCCGGAAGACGAGAAGGAGAAGGACCGAAGCACTGCCAAGACCAAGGACTTGCCGGAAAACACTGGTAAACTCCAAGCCACCTCAACCACTGCCACCACCACCACCACAACTGATACCCATGAGAACAGCCATCATCCTAGTGCCAAAGCCATGTACATATCGTCCCCCGCACCCGCACCTGCCACAACATCCGAATCCGCATCCGTAGCCCCATCTGCAGCTAAAACCACTGACATTGTAGGTGACGCGGGACCCGTCATGAGTTATCTCCTGGGGCCACCGAACAATCTGGAGTCCTCAAAAACGCTTAGCTCCTCTGCACCCGGAGCAATCTCAAATCCAGATGAATACAACCCGCTGAATGCGGCCATCAACAGTGAAGATGCCCAGTCTCCAGATGGCGGAGGCAGCAAAGACAGCTCACAGGAAAGTTCCCCGCATATTGAGATTGGAGAGGATGAACTGGAGAGGACAGAACCTGATCCTAATAAGCACAACCAGCGCCATTCGCTGGACTCCGCCATGGACGAGAACTGCCGCTCGCTGAGCACTCTTACCGAAAGCACAGATCAAAGTGCACCCATCAACTTCGACATGTCGAACAGGGCGAAACTGCCACGCGGCATAGAAAACATCCGGCCTCACTTGGAGCAGGTAGACAATGTGCCCTTGCAGGTGTCCCTCTTCACGGACTGTTCGGCGGAGGCCACGCAACAGATGCTGGAAATCATGCAGTCCTACGGTGAGATCGTCGTCTGTCTGGGAAGCTCAGCCAGCAATGCCAATGCGGACATCTTTCTGCAGGCTGATTGCAGTATAGCCGTGGAGCCCCTGTATCCGCAGGTGTGCCAGGACGTAGACGCCTACACGGAGACCAATATCCACCACAACAAATTGTTGTGGCAACGACAGGCGGGAAAGTCCAAGGCCGCCGCCGCCGATGACGATGAGGAGCTGCTGGAAAGCGGTCTTCAGGGATGCGCCATGCAGACACCTGCCCACACCGTTTCCCCACTGTATCTGAGCCGGCTGCTGAACTCTCTGCCGTGCTCCATCGCCGTTTGCCGCGACGACCCGCTTTCACTGGTGGCCATAATTGAGTTGTCACGTCGTTTCTCGCTGGGCCTGTGGAACTGCATACAGTATTGGGCCTGCTGCGCCGGCTCCATCTCCATTCTGAACGTGCTGTGCGCGTGCCTATCGTTGCCGCCGCTCCTTACACCGCTGCTTGCCATCTATCTGATGTGCGTGCCGGTGCCGCTGATAGCCATCTCACTGGCCCACATCGACGTGGATCCCAAAATCATGAATCGGGCCACCAGCAAGAAGCAGACGGACTATGATTCGCGGGCCTTTGCATTCGTTATGTGGTGCTACGGCTGCAAGTTTATTGTTCCGGTCATATCCTTGGTGAGTTTGAAATATTCTTTGTACTTGAAAAATGAATTTTGACATACAGGGACATTGCCATGTATTTACACGTTTTAAAGTTTCATTTAATAATTTTCTATATAGGATTATATGATTTTTCCTCTCGATATACATTCCCCAATATCATCACCCTCATTAATTATGGTTTTCAATACATACTCTTCCATAGCTCGTTTCGTACTGGATGTTCCTATTGGAGCCCAAACTGTACCCAGGACCAGTGGAGAAAGATGAATTTGATGATGGCGATGATGATGGAGACTACTATCAGTTTTTATACTTTGCCCGAAGCTGCGCCTTACTGGCCATAATTCTGCATTTTGGTAATAATACTCATCCACCCATTTGCCGACTATTTTTATACCCTTGCAGGGTATTATAATTTCAGTCAGAAGTTTGCAACGCAGTGAAGGAGGCACCTCCGACTATATAAAGTATATATATTCTTAATCAGGATCAACAGCCGAGTCGATCTAGCCATGTCCGTCTGTCCGTCTGTCCTTCTGTCCGTCTGTCCGTTTCTACGCAAACTAGTCTCTCAGTTTTGAAGCTATCTGAATGAAACTTTGTAGTTAGCCTTCTAAATACTCTCACTCATATATATGTCGGAACGGGCCGGATCGGACGACTATATCATATAGCTGCCATAGGAATGATCGGATAATTTTTACAAAAATTTTTTTAACTTTTTCAGTTTTCAATAGAATTGGATCAAATTTGAGATATAGCCATTTTACTATACTCTACAATTTTGCATAAAATTTTATGAAAATCGGACTACTATATCATATAGCTCCCATAGGAACGATCGAGAAATTAATACAATTAAATTTATAACCTTTTCAGTTTTCAACTGATTTTCATCAAATTTTAGGTATAGGCATTTAATTTAAGTCTTAAATTTTGTGGTAAATTTCATGAAAATCGGACGACTATATTATATAGGTGCCATACAAACGATCGTTTGATGTGGAGGAAAAATGCAAATCAGTGAATGTAAAACTGCAAATATAATATGTATAGGTGAATGAAATGAAAGCAGGTATTACTTCATTGTTTTTTAACACAGATATATAATTTGTATTGTATGGTTTTTTATTCATAGAAGTTCTATCTGCAAGGGTATATAAACTTCGGCGTGCCGAAGCTAGCTTCCTTTCTTGTTAATTATATTTTTTTGAACATATTCTTCCGTTAGTTTTTATATCCTTTACATTTGTCCATCGTGATCATGCGCTCTGGCAGCGCAATCCGTTTACAAATCGCATATGGGCTATTACGTGCTTATTGCTCCTGCTTCTTCACGGGGTAATCTGCTCCCTGCAACTCATTTTGGAGGATTTCATGTCGCAGGTCCCAAACCTGTTGCTGGCCTTGGTGATCCTATTTGGTGGAAGTTTGCTGAGCCTGATTGTCAGTGAGCTGGCCAAGTTCCAGGAGAACAAGTCAGTAGATTATAACTTTCTTTAGCGATTTACGTTACATAATTTTTGTTTTTTTAGGGTCAATGCACGCTATCAGCGTCGAGCTCGCCTCGACTTTGGCACCAAACTGGGGATGAACTCACCCTTTTAACAACCACGGCCAAGAATCTTACCAAAAAGAAAAAAAGACGCCAGCGTTACACACATGTACTTAGTGCCAAGGCTGTATATAACACCACCACTCAACACCCACTTCTTATTGTTTTAATTTTCTATTCGGACTAACCATATTGGGGTCCTTGTTCGGCCCACGTACTTTTGTTTATTTTAGTTTGTGACACGGCAATCCCAATGCGAGAGTAACGATAAGCATTTGTTATTCATGTTTCTAAAGCGGTTTGGTTCGTGTTCCTTGTTTCGATGAGCTGTAACTCTTTATGTACTTACATTTAAAAGACTTGCAATTATTGTAAGAAATATATGTATGTATGGTAAAAATGAAAACAGACTCCTTAAACAAGTAAAAGTTTTGAATGGGATTCGGTTGGAAAGTGTCCAGAACTGGTTCTCTACAGATGCTACAGAAGAGATAGCGGGCAAACGTATATAGCATGCCCGAAATCTGAATAGGTGCTAATCAGGAGAGGCACGTTGCAGCAAGTGCGGCGGCAGTTACTGACCCACATCTATCCCGTATCGTTCATGGCAAGCAAGTTGACAAATATTATTGTCTTTCATTTCAAGTTAGAAAATTTTTAAATTAGGTTACACATGCTCTCTCGATCGAAGAACTGTATACATACGATTCATTCAATTTACACATTCAGAGCGCCAAAAACAAGGCTACCTTGCCGTTCGACTTAGAATTCTTTGAAATTTTCATTCATTGTTAAATGTTAAATACTGTAACCTAAAGTTCATAAATTAAAATCAACATTTATGTCTATATTCAAATTTCTATATACTATTATTTGCTTGCTTTAGTGTCAAAGATAAGCATTAGTTCATGCAAGTCCCTGGAGAATAGGATGAGAAAGACATTTTAAAGACATTTTGGAACTCATACAAGTTTGTGTCCGATTTCAATTTAAGTTTGAAAACATTAATCATGAGAACGTCTTGTTTTGTGGCTTGGCGCATTTCGTTTAGTGCTCTCCCACTTTCCAAAAGGTTATAAATAAGTTAGGAATTTTATAAATTTGGAGTTGAATATTCTAAAACTTAACATTATGCACAGAAATATATATATTATTCTAATATATATGGTCCTTTTCCCAGGTTTAGATCAAGTTTCTCCCAACATACCCGGCATCTAAGACATGTTTTAGAAATTAAAATTGTTACTAATTGGTTGCAAAATTAGTGGCACACGCCCAGATCCACATTAAGCTGCCCATTCGGACTGGAATTACACTCCACACTCCCGGTGAACACATGCAAGGCAGCCGGCTGGAGCACATAACGGAAGATACTACCAGAAATGTGGAGTAACAATTGATTAGCACCTTGCTACGTCGTCGAAATGAAAGTGCTGTTGTGCCCGGACAGATCGATCGTATATAGATCACTTCTAGTAGCACCTTCTGCCTCGGAATCTGGGTCATGGAAAAACGAAATCACGAACTCTGCTGGACGCAGCCCGAATAAAACCAATAGGCTTAGGGTGCTGACTTGTATTCGAGATTTTCGCGCGACGCGGTACGGTAGCGTTCTTCCGAGCTCCGACGGACATGACGAAAGTGTAGCCCCCAAGGATATTTTGTGATAGTGCAGAATTTCGATTATTTATATGTATATAGTGCTCCAGAGGTGAAACGAAAAGATATATATCTAAATCCAACAATGCGGTTGGAAGGCGCTAAGTGGGCGCTGCTGGTGTGTCTCGTTTTCTCAGTAAGCTGTATCCAGATCGATGCTTACTCCCAGGTACTGGTCAGTGGCAATGGAGCGGAAACGGGGCAAGGTCCTCGAATTTTTAAGGCCCTTAATACGGATTTGATATTCCCGAAAACGTAAGTTTATAGCCGCTGTGGAGTAGGGTGGCCGAGATTTGCTGACATCTGTTGCCTACACAGCTTCAACTCCAGCGATAATGTTGTATCGACCACTTTGGCTCCTCCAACGACATCCCTGCCACCGATTTCATACAACCATCAACCCGAGACGGTTTCTGGAACAACAAACTCACCTGTGTTTGTTACACCTTTGGTTGCTGAAGAGCCGGCTGGGGACAGTAAACCCGCTCCTGATACTAACACTGCTTCCGAGGAACAGCCTGAACCAATTGTGGAAGCAGCTTCCACAGGACGCGCAGTGGACTACCGGACAGCGTATTCCTTTGGTCAGCTAATTACTCCGTTGCTGAGGGCCGGCAAGCCACAGCAGTACAACTCGCGACCCGCACAGACCCGTATTTATCCGCAAGGTAGTCGTCCCCTGTATTACTCTTCCTCATCTTCATCACGAAATCCATCTCGCCATCAAGCTTCGAAGCTCAACAATAAAAAAGGTATATGAGTCCAATCAATAAATTAAATTTTTAAGTCTTAAAATTAAATTAATTTACGGAGATTAATATATTTAATATATTTATATATTTATATTTATTTTCAATTTTATTTTTGTTTAAAGAAAAGGAATTATGATCATTTAATGCCATTCACTCCATGATCGTTTGATAATTGGTTAAAAAAAGAAATACTAATCCATTCCTATCCTTAGGATTCAGCGATCGCTTCACTCCCGGAGAAGGAACCGCCGCAAATCTGTTCAAGGCTCACAATCACAATCACAATCACGACCATAGCCATGATCATTCCCATGGGCAGGATGGTAAGGCGGCCTCTGGATCCAACTCTGTAAACACATATGTTGCTCCAAGTGATGCCTATTCATTTCCGCCCTTAAATACGAAGTACCCATCGCCTTCGAATGATCCAAAGGCAGCTCTGCCCTCGGACACTGTTACGAGTTACCTACCACCCGCCTCTGGAGGATTGAGTAACGCTGGTTACTCCTATCCTGGGCCTTCATTCTCTGGCTACAAGTACCCCGGTCCATTGGCGGCAGGCAACGGCGACAAGGAAACAGCTGCCAGTTCCCCAAGTGCGTCGCCCCCAGCGGACGATGATCCCGGTAACGATGATGTGATCGGAGTTCTGCCCGCCAGTGCTATGGACAATGTTCCCATGAAGGATATGGATGGCAAGGATGCCGGTGGAAGTTCTGCCGCTGCAGATGACGGAGATATGAGCCCGCCCGCAGGCGGAGGAGCAGATGCTGGTGGGGGCGACGGAGACGACGGGGTTGCTGGAACTCTTCCAGCGCTCCACAACGATGGCTCTCATGGCGAAGACGATCACAAGTACGATCCCAACATGGAGTACGCCACACCGCCTCCTGGCTGGCTGGAGTCTCACCCAGAATCGGCTGTTCCCAAGCCAGAGGACCACGATCACGATCATGATCACGACCATGCACCGGAACACATTCATGGTCATCATCACGACCATTATCCGGGTCACTTTGATTATCAGCCGTCCTATCCGGATGACTCCTACCCGGATGTGATTTACGATGCCCATCCGCATCATCACCACCATGTGCACCATCCGCCGCCGCCACCACCTCCACCTCCGCCACCACCACCTCCCCCGCCTCCTACTGAACCGCCTCCACCTCCACCGCCACCGCCAGAGCCGCGTGTGAAAAAGTACAGCTACTTTTACATCGGCCGCAAGCTCTGGTACATTCCCCTTTACTTTACTGTGTGGTTCAGCTTTTACATTCTGTGGCTGATCATCAAGTCCATTGGCCGGCACAAGGTGAACCTGCCCAACCACTACGTTTCGAGACGCAGTGCGCCGGATCCGTTTAGCGAGCAGGGTCGGGACGAATACATAAACGAGATGACAGTGAAGGTGCTGGAACACATCGATAGCTTTAAGCAGAAATATTTGAACTGATGAGAACGCCACTCTTAATATTTACGGCTAATAAAAAGTACAATTTATACAAAACAAGAAAGAAAGAAAGAAAGATTTTTAACGAACTACATTAACCAATATTAATTACACATAAGCAATTAAGACAGGACCGAACTGGAAATGTAAAGCTTAAGCCTTAAAAACTAGTTACAAATTCCCTTTTTAGGGTCAAAAACAGGCGACCACCGCTCGATTCTTATAGTGTCCACGAATAAAATGACAAGGAAAACACCTTATCAAATTAAAATTCAATATTGGAGAAGCCACAGTTCGGTTTAATAAATGTATATGTTTGCATATTTAAAAAGTCGTTAGGCAGTAGTTATCGATAAAGTGTATAGGTCGCTTAGCGATGTCCCAAACCCATTTTTTTTTTTTACAAATATTTCCTTGTGGCCGGAAAACATCGATACACATGACATCGTTATCGATAATAAATAAATAACAATCGTCATGTGTTCCATCACTATTTTACCCTCCACTTTGTTTATGTTTCAACTTTCTGCCATAAAATAGCAATAAAATAACTTCCCAAAATGTCGTATATGCTCCCACATTTGCACAATGGCTGGCAGGTGGACCAGGCCATTCTCTCCGAAGAGGACCGCGTGGTGGTAAGTAGTTTAACCGGTACATATGTAGCCTCGAGTGACAGCCGGAGCACCACTTGGTAGAAAGCCTAGAGTGACACATTATTCTTCTCTCCGCCAGGTTATTCGTTTTGGGCACGATTGGGACCCTGCCTGCATGAAGATGGACGAGGTGATGTACAGTATCGCCGAGAAAGTGAAGAATTTCGCCGTCATCTATTTGGTGGACATCACCGAGGTACCGGACTTCAACAAGATGTACGAGTTGTACGATCCCTGCACGGTCATGTTCTTCTTCCGGAACAAGCACATCATGATAGATTTGGGCACGGGCAATAACAACAAAATCAACTGGCCGCTGGAGGACAAGCAGGAAATGATCGACATCGTGGAAACGGTGTACCGCGGAGCCCGCAAAGGTCGTGGTCTGGTGGTTTCCCCCAAAGACTATTCCACCAAATACAGATACTAAAGTGGGATTGTGTTCATAGATGTGTTTAGAATACAAAAAAAAATAATAATAGTAATTATACAGATACGATCCCAAATACAAAAGACAAAAGAAGTGGCCAAGACAACTTGGTGTATATGTGTTTTCTTCTGGTTTATTTTTCACTTGTCACATTTCTCATTAATATCGCTAACATGTACATCAATTTTCTTGGTTTTCATATATATATATATATAACATTTAACTAAGTTTGTTCTTTAATAGCTCGTACTTTTTAAAAATTTTAATACTTTAAAGTAATCTTGCATTAATAATTCTGCGCATTACGGAATATTTGGTTTTATTTTCTTCGAATTGCTTTCGTTTACCAATTTGATCAATTATATGCTTCGAGTTCTCTTGCTGGAGGTACATATAGATATCGGGTTCATGCACTTTACGGAAGTGTAAGTCATGGCTCTGTGAGGGCGGGCCGGGAAGGGGGGTGTTAGTACAAAAGTATAAAAGAAATCGCCGGAACAAATTGGGGAGTGATAGGCAGAGAGGGAGAGGCTTTACTTTGCCTATAAACTGAATGTTCTGTGCATGTCCAGGGGCTTTGTCTTCAACATTTGTTATTGTTCATTTAATACAACAGCTCAGTTTTATTACAGATTTATTATGCTTAGGTTTAACAATTGGTTCCGCTACTCTTTACCTTATACAAGTTAGGTTTTTCTTTAAATATATATGTATGTATAATTAGCTACGTTATTCGTTTATTTGTATATTTTCTTTTTCCCGTTTTAAACTTTAAATCAACGCTACAATTACAATATTTTCGAATTCTCATTTACTCTTACTTTCTTCAGCATATAACCAACATTTAATTGTTTATTTTGTGTTATTTGATATACCTTTCGCTGCGCTCGTGGCACAGGCTCTGCTTAGTCGCCGTTCGAGTTCATCTCTCGTCGTACAAAATACTTACTAGTATTAAAAAATATTCAAATAGGGCTCGATTTGTACATACATACATGTACTTACATATACTTATGCGTAGGAAAGGTACAAATCAGGCTCAGGCTGAGGCTCAGGCGTGTGAGAAAGTCTCTGGGGATCATCGGCTAGGGATACCTCAAAATGCAGCTCTATCGTACCATCCTGTCGCTTTGGTTTCTTCTCAACTAATTATGTCTGTATTTTGATTTGGATAATTCAAGTTATTTGATTTTATTTCCCCTTCGGTTGCTGTTGCATTTCTTCCCTTAACTTGGCTTTAGCTCTTCATAGAAAAATAGAGATGCGTAGGTGGGATGAGTTAGGAAATTGTTTACGTTTACTCTTTTTTCTTGCTAATGCTATCAATTTGGATTTGCTCATATATTTCGTTTTGTAACCCTCTAACGCTACTTTATATCCATCAACAATCTGTGTTTTAACAGGCAGGAGCGGGGAAATGCGAAAGTGTTCCTAGACGGTCTAGCTACGTGTACGGGTACGGGACATTTAGGCATCGATGTCCTTGAGGTCTTCGGTCAGAGTACGTCTGTTGCAAGGTTAACCGGATCTCGAACGCGTCCCAGTTGTTGTGCAATCTATAAAATTTCTAATTTTAACTTACAATACTTTAAGTATTTGGCTGCTGTTTAAGACACTAGAAGAGTTTTCATTCCGTTCATAGGGAGAGTGAGAAATACAGAGATGTAGAAAGATCGGCGATCGACGTACCAATAGAAATATATAAACCTCCTCCCTAGTATGGCTGCATACAAATATATATATATATGTTCGTACACTGGCACTTCCTGCTTTAAAGATACATAGTGTGAAAAATAAATCCGAGTATCACTACTTAACTTTTAGAGTTCTATTAACAATAATAGACAACAGTCTCTAAGTACGAATACGTTGTTGTTCTGGTTGCTGTTCGTTATTACCCTCATCCTCCTGCTCCTCCTTCTCCTCCACCCATCCGATCGTCTGTACATACTAATTATATAGTAGGTAGTATATAGTAGGCAAGTACTCTACTGCAACTCCCCATGCTCCTCAGTCGGCCAGTCGGAGCCAGGGACCGGGAGCGACCCAATTAACTTATGTATTTTGACTAAATGCGCTTAATCTAACTCTCCTAATCTAGGCCTAAATACTCAATCAATGTTCGCGTTCTCCAGTGACAACCCAGGAAGTTGGTTGCCAGACCATGCGACTACCGGAAATACAGTGATATTTTCCCTTAGAAAAAGATTGTTACTGGGAGAACTGGACTCGTACTAGATTTATCATAGAAAAATATCCTCTAACTAGGATATATATAGGTGTTAGCAATTAATAAATATATCAGTTAGCGATTGAGAATATCTTTAAACTGAGCTTGACATAGATTTGTTGAATTATTTTACGGAAAACATCTTTAACAAGTTTGGGAAAAGTTGATCATAGATTAATTTGGGAGTCTTCACTGTATATTCCATATAACCATGCTTACAAAGTCAGTTGCTAAGCTCTTAAATAATGGCCCGGGCCAGGGAACTGCCTTCGTTGGAGCAGTGGAAACCAGCTGGGCTAGAAGAGTGTCTCCTTGGACCACTTGCGCGAAGTGCCGGGCAAGCTGGGATCGCGTTTCTCTCCACTCACAGCCATGCCCTCCCGCTCCAAGTTGCCCTCATCCGCTTCCCCCTCCGCCTCCGCCTCGTGCTCGTCCTCACCCTCCTCGTTTGGCAGCCGGATCAGGGGAAGCTCTAGCATGACGGCGGGCGTCGCAGTCGTTGTGTTATGTGCGCCACTCTCACAGCTAAGGTTGGCGGCACTCTTGCTGATCCCGCTGGCGGGAACGAGGAATGCGGTGCCGGGACCCGATCCCTTGCGCAGGATCAGATCCTTGAGGGAGGCGGGCACACAGATGCTCTGGTGCCGGGTGGTTATCACCGAGTCGGACACGGACGAGGGACAGGGATCGTGCCCCAGCCGGGTGGCGTTCGTTGGCAGTTGAGCTGGCTGCTGCTGTGAGGGCTGTGCGGCGGCATTATTGTCCATCCGGCTAGTCAGAGGAACAGGACTGGGTGTGGAACGGCCCATGCTGATGACCGTGTTCAGGCTGCTGTACTGCGTGTGCGTTGCGGACTCTCCACCACCACCGCCCAGAGGAGCTCCGGCGGCCTCGACCAGTCCCAGCTCTGTGTTCAGCGTTGAGCAGGTGTCCTCCTCTGTAGTGGTGGTCGTTGTGGTTGTCGTCGTCGTTTGCGGATCACTGTACTGTTGCAGGAGCGGCCCCCGTCGCGGGGGACTCTGGCTGACCACCGCCCCGAAGTGCGTCTCAAGGGGAGCTGCCACCTCCGACTGGATGGGCAGGCCCATGTGAAACTGTTGCAGCTGCAGGGGCTGATTGATAAGCGCCACCCTATCGCTGGATGTGGCGCCGATGGTGCGGTGTCGCTGCAGCATAGGCCTCCTAGGACGGGCACCCCCAGCTGCCACCACGGTGGTGCCACCCCCAGATTCCATTCCCGTCGATGGCACTGCACTCATGCTCATCCGCTTCAGGGGCACAGACGGATTGGGTTTAATTTCCGAACTTACCCGCACCGAAGCCTGAGTCTGAGCCAAAGCAAGAGCCTGTGCCTGAGCCTCCTGCTCCTCGCTGTCGCTGCTCAGTTGCTGCATGTCATCATCCGTGTCCGCCGGACTCTCCACCCCGAAAACCGAGTCTTCGTCGAGAGAGCGTAACTCGGAGTCGGGGCACTCCAGCGAGGAGATCTTGAAGGAACTTAGTGAGGCTAGCGGGGCTCGCTTCTCCGGATTGTTGTTACCGATCGCGGGCAGCTTGTTGGAGGCAGACATGGACAGGCTTCCTCCGCTCCCGCCATTCAGCCTCTCCAGGCTCGCCGGCGTGCTGTCCACACTGATGCTGCTCGAGTTGGGAGCAGTGCCCGCCGTTCCGGACGGTGCCGCTGCATTCGCCGTATAAGGAAAGCTGTTGTTGTTGCTCTCGTCCCGCTGCAGCTCGACCAGGGTGAGCTTTCGCCGAACTCCCAGTCGGAGCTCCTCAGAGGGCGAGTCGCAGAAGTGAAACGCCTGTTGGGCACTGGTGGGCGGTGCTGACTGCACGGGCTTGGGCAGCGGCAACGCAAGCGCCAGGTCCACGGCGGAACTCCCCTGGTTGTAAGGATACACGTCCACAGTGTCGGCGCTTATTGAGTGTATCTGCTGCTTCCGGCCCGCCTGCGCACTGTCTGGATCGTAAGACACAATGCTGTGCTTCCGCTTGATGCTCGGCGCACTCAAGTTTGAGTTCCGTGATCCGCAAACAGACCCGGATCCAGATCCTGCTCCTCCTCCTCCTCCTCCGTTGGACGACTCGTGGACACTGCGCTCCGAGGGACAGGGCGAAGCCTTTGGCGTTGGCTGGATCACCTGGATGTCTGGATAGTAGTAGTCCCAGTTGTCGATGCTCGATGTCCGGGAGGCCGTCGAGAGCTTACGCTGCAGCGTGGGCGGCAGGTTGCTCATGCAGCCGCCCATGTAGGCGGAGGTGCGACGCTCCAGGTACGAGCTGTCCGTGCTGCAGCAGGTCATCGCGCTGCTCCGCCGGGAGTCGTGACCCTGCGAAGGGAATTCAGAGAAAAAGGTTAAGCAATTAGTCGGTGTTGAATTACGGATAATTTTTAAATAATTCTGAATCTAAAAATCAATGTACTTCAACTCACCGCCATCGGTACGGACAGGAATCCCTGTTTGCTGCGCGTGGAGTCCGTTCTCTGGTGCTTTTGATCCGCCTCATCCTGGGCACCTGGTGGCATATACTCCTCGGCATCCAGCTCGTCATCCGTCTCCACAAAGTAGTCGTCGGTGCCAAAGCTACCGCCCATGGGATAGTTGCTAAAGATCCGGGAAGACTCCGAGCCGCTCTTGCGCCGTCCTATGTGGCCAGAGCCCGGTCCACCGCCTCCAGACATTGCAGAGTAGGAAAAACGTCGCGGTGGCTCCAGGAGATAGCTATAACCCACAGGGACACTGGGGCCAACTCCACCTGCAGTGTAGAAAAAGAGTAGCAAAAAGAGACCGTGTTTACAAGCATTTAGAAAAAATTGTATTTCAAATGATGTGTCTAAGACAAAAGGACTCACCCACAGAACCGCAACGATACCCGCGATTGAGCAGTGGCGGAGCGCTCACGTTGCCCAGCGATAGCATACGTTGTCGACGGTAGACCAAGGCATCGTACTCATCCGGATATATAGACATGCCCGTGGCCACTATGGCCTCGTGGATCTCACGCTCCTCCTCCTCCTGCATACAGACCGCAGCTACGGCCGCCATCTTGGGATCCTTGAGAACCTTCAGTGTCTCGTTGCTGCTGCTCCGGCTCTTCCACACGATAAGGAAGACCATCAGGCCAAAGAAACCTCCCAAGGTGGCGGCGATTCTAACGCCCGTCATCACGTCATAGGTGGCGAAAAACTCCTCCCTGATTCTGGCCCGCTCCGCCGCATTTTCCGCTTCTGTCAGATTCCGCTCGCCGGGCGGCAGCAGTGGCATATACGGCGTGGCCGTGACATGGGCGGGAGTGGGAGCTGGTGCAGCGGTTGCAGCGGGCGTGGCAGTGTTGCTATTAACGTTGTTGTTATTGTGATAGGAGAGCGCCGACGGTGTCGGTGATGGCGATGGATGCTCATGGAGGACATCGGGACCGGTGTCAACAAGTGCTGCAGCTTGGGGTTTGTTGCCGCTGCTGTTGGCGGCACGTCGGGCGAGGCGTTGTTGCTGCGGATGATGTTCCTCCGGACTTTGACGTGTCGGATTTGGCTGCTTCTGATCCTGGTACTCCTCCTGCTGATTTGTCCTTGTCTGTTGCTCCGACTCCTGCTGCGTGTCGCCTGGGGCATGACTCGGGCTAACCGATGTTGCCGCTGTACTCGCAGTGCTTGCTGTGGTGGCTCTTGAAGGCGTTGCTGCAGACGACGAGGCCCGTCGTGAAAGTTTGGCCATTTCTATTGAAACATTTTCTGCAAATATAAAGGATTGTAAATAATTGAGTAACTATCTCCCCAAAAATAATCTATTAAATATATTGGCAATGAAAAGAAATAATGATTAAACTCGTTCTTCCAACAAAGTGCAAGACATCAAATATCAATTGTTCGGATATTACTGAATACTCAATTGACTTATGCCTCAAGGCTCTCACTGCCCCAGAGGATTGAGGGACTGAGGATTTGAGCAACTCCGTCTGTTTAATGCCCCTTCACTGGACCTGGCTAACTGCCCATGAAAGTGTGAGTCACGAACAAATTGGCCATACAATATCGACGTGACTGCCATTCAGGCCAGCTGCGAGATGCTGTTGGAAATGTTGCAATGAAATTAACGAATATTCAGTTGTGACTGCTGCCAGAGTGTGGGAGCAAAATAACACCCATAAATATATACAACCTTAAACATAAAATATACAACCTTAAACTGACTGAGATTTGGTGAAAATAAATGTAAATTTTTGGTATATAAACGAGTTATAAGTTGGCTTCTTTGTCCTTAAATCTGTTTGGACAAATAACATTTATTATTTTTGATTATTGCGCTCATTTTTATCTGATGTACTCCAACTTTTTCTTTTTCTGGCTTCACTTTCCTGGATGATTCCTCATACTTGGTCCCTTCACGCTTTCTGGACCCTGAGCAATTAAAATGACATAAACTCATCAACATTTCTTGGCAAATTCTTCGACAGCAGCGCCTCAAACTTTTTAATTGTTTTCAGAGCATTAGTTGTTTTTTTCCCCCAACGCCTCGCTTTTCTCTAGGCAACATTCCGCTTGGGAAATAACTTGGTACATTTTTAACATTTTGTTGAAATGAGTAAATTAAGGTAACACACACAGACAGACAATGTGTAAAATATACACAGAGAAAACCAACAAAAGAACATAAACCAAGTTATTCAAAAGTCAGTTCGAGAGCAAAGTATTTTTCAAGTTGAATTATTAGGTTTCTGTTATAAAAACAAGAACATTGATAAATTGAATAAATACTTTAATTTGGAAACCCAGAGATATCAAAACAATCAATTTCTATATAAATTTCAATCGAGTTCTCTCCCTCAGTGCATTGAGTCGAGTCCCTGTTTTCGCCCGCAGCTTCTCGCTCAGCAATATCCTTGGATTTTCAACAAGTTGCGCGCTCAATAATTCAGAAGGACATTGTAGCTACGTGGCCGGGCGCCTGTTGCCGTTGTGTGCTCACTACCATCGTCCGTTGTCCGTTGTCCATTGTCCATTGTCATCGGCAGCTAGTTGGTCAGCTCACAATTTTCCGCCCCTCAGGTTTTCCCAGCCCCGCCGGAGCCCCCACCTAATTGTTCGCTTTTTGTATTGACAGTCGCGCAATTGCGGAGCTCCGCTCTGCTGAATTTTCTATCTGAGTTGGTCTTTCCTTGCCCGGATTCAGTTTCCTTTTTGTTTTACATAGCTGTATGTAGAACGATATGTATGTCCTGCGAGCTGTGCGCGTTTTGTCCTGCCAAGGACAGCGACAGTCAGTCAGGGAGCGAAATGATTATTGCAAAAGTTTTCGTCTAACACTCGCATTCCACTCGCAACCCCCCTCCCCCCAGTTTTCCACCTTGGCTTATTTCGGTTTTTCCGCTCATGGTTTTCCACTTCCATTTCCACTCCCGCCCGCCCGCTTCCGCGCTTGTCCGCCAGCTTGTCTGGCAAACAAAAAACTTTTAATGGCTATTATGCATTGGTCATAATTCGTGTTCAACTTCCGTGCAAATAATGAGAAGAAAATGTAAAATAAAATTTGCAGTCTAAGCAGTTTGGAGTGATTTTTAATGGCCTCACAGTTGTCGGATACTTTTGCCTGGCAATTATATTTGAATTTCTCTAATGGCTGCGAATTTGTCTCGTCTACTTGGGTAAATTTGTCAAGAGATGAATACATTTTAAGGAACTTTTAACAAGACGAAATTGAAAAGGAATTCATTAGGATGGGTCTTTATTTTACTTATTAAATATATCGAATAAATAATAGAGTTTAAAATTTGATATTTATAATCAATGCTTGCAAATAAAAACTTTGATACTAGGGTAGGGATTTATGTGATTTGTAATAATTGTTCATACAAAATATATAGTTGTAAATGAAATATGAAATATTAAAGAACTTTAAGAATGTATTGTAAATAATATTTGACAACAGTCCAGGACTCAGCCACTTTACAAAAGGATTCTATGGCCTCCGTGAATGCGTTGATCCAGATTCAATAATGGAACTTCCTCGATAGCTGGAGCACAAGATAGATTTCCCGCCCCAAGGGACCGAAGTTATTGAATACTTGTAATAAGTTGCAGCTTCCGCTGGGCACGCACACACTCTCGAAAAATATACGGGGCAAGGATGTATGGTGCAAACATTGCCAGTTCCCCATGCCTCGAAATAAAGACAAAGTGTTGAAGCTCCCGTTGAGTCGTATTGATGGATTAGCACATTTGGGGATTGGGTCTTCTCGCTAGGCAAGGATAATTGCCTTTGGCTTACTTCAAATACTCGGGCTTTGGCAATGTGGGTGTGTGTTTGGTGTGTGGGTGTTCAGAAGAGAAAAAAAGGCAAACAATATACGGAGAATACATTAACCATTTCCGCTCGATGAACGTGTGTGGTATCAACGCCATATCGATGTCAAAGGCGGGCCGAAGCGCGGTGGAAAATGAGCGGAAAATGCGTGGAAATGGGCCAGGCTAACCAAACAGCAACAATAACCACTGCCGTTACACATATGTATGTACAATGTGTTGCTTGTTGCGCATTGTTGGTGCTGCTGCTGCTGCTGCTGCAGCATGATGAATGGTTGTGGTTAGGCCAGCGGACTAACGGACAGCGGACAGCGGACAGCGGACAAACATGCTGACAAGCAACCTCGACTCGGATTTGAGTACACGTTGCGTATGCGTAATGCGTGAAGGGGGAGCCAGTGTGTGAGCGGGGTGAGAACAATAATTCATCATGCCCACGGACAAGTATGCCGTATATACAGCACCCCCATATACATATATGTATGTATAAAGATATCCTTAGCCTTATTTTGGGACTGTCATTTTTGTGCCTTCGAACGCAACCAACTTTGGCAAATGAAATTGACGGCCAATCAATTGAAAATGTGTATAAATATGTTCGTGCTTATGTATGTGGAGGCTCTTCTCTGCATTCAGGGGAATGCCTTTGTCCGATTTCACTTATGAATTGAATTGTGCTTTGGCCTCGGGCGGCATGCCCCCAACTATGGAGTCATTCAAGTGAATTGAGGCGTTACGCCATAAATACACAAGCCACGATTTAAATAAAAATAATCTGAAACAAGTTCGGTATTTCAAGGCAACTGCACCATAGCATTAATGTTTCAAAACGAAAATCTCCTTTCAAGTTTCGATTACTTTTTAAAAAAACTTTCAATTCAATTATTATTTTTCGCAAGTGTTTTGTAGGGAAATCGTCTGATTTATTGACAACATTTGATACAATTCATTGATTTTTTAAGCCCTTTTTGAGTACCTTTCCCAGCGGCCATCATTGTCAACATACACACATACACACGTGTCCCTTAGGGTGTGCACAACCGAAAGAGACGGAGACGAAATATAAGCACCTAAGCGGCTTATAGGAGCATTAGGCAAATGAAAATATTCAACAGCAAAAATGTGTCTTGTCCTTTTTTCGATTCGATTGCCCGTCCTTACATTGCACGCACAGACCCTGTCTCCGTTTGATTTCCTTTTTAATTAGCTAAAATGTCGACTAAGCTGTGGAATTTAACATTTTAAGAGCTTACGGAAAAGTGGCGGCCTTAAAGTGGAGAAAAGCGGTTTTCTGTGAGTCTGCCAGCCTTATTAGTGTCTGCTTTGTCTATTCCCGGAGGGAAAGGGCGGGGCATTCGGTTTTCCAAGGGGGGGAGCACACAATGCCACAGAGTCAGTCCAAATTATGAGAATTACGGCATTCCACAGTCGCGCCTGCAGAAGGTCCTGCCACCACTACACCTCCCCTCCCCTTCAACCTTGCGCCTCCCCAGCCGTGCGCCATTTAACAAACATTCCGTTAATCTGCTACACTTGGCAGCGCCATGGCCACGAGCCTCCTCCTCCCACTTCCGCTCCTTGGATCCGGATCCTTCCCAGTGTCTCACCGTAGATCTGTCGAAACGACTATTAAACCGATAGTACCCAGGCGGAATTTTACTACATTTTATATTTGGGATATATATCATTATATTTTGAAAAACTTCCTGCTTTAATCTTTCATTTTCTTTCATATCTCATACATTTATTTCAAATAGATATAAATGTTATTTAAGTTGGCAGCACAATTTGAAAACCCATTTAAAATGTTAAATATTTCTTCAAAAATATATTTAATGTTTAAAAATCAAAACAAATGAGTAATTATTGAACTTCCCCTAGAGCGTCAAAAGTGTATTCAAAAATGAAAAACAATTAAACAACCGAACAATGGAATATTTGTTGATTATGACAAATGATTTTCACAAACTTTTAGGTAGTGCCTTTGGGGGTGTTTTACATGTTTGGTGTGGCTTTTTTTTAATGTCCTGGCGCAGCACTAGTGGTATTCGGTCTTGCAGGTATATGTGAACGTGTGTGTGTGTGTTACCTCATACCATAGAGCTTGGCAATGTTGTCCTCGTTGTTACTGCTTATTGTTGTGCTTTTATTGTTATGGCCATGTTTTTTTTTTTTTGCCAGGCCTCTTGCTCTTTTTTGTTTGCTGTTTCATTTGGCGGCATTGTCGCTCTCTCTATGTGTGTGCGTGTGTGTGTGAGTGCATGGGTGGAGGGAAGGGGGATGTATGTGAGTCCTTTTTGTCTTTAGTGCTAAGCGTTTTACGTTTATGATCCCAACTCAGGCCCAGACAGATACACATACAGACAGGACCCGGTGACTCTCTCTCGTCGTTTAAGTGTCGCCTACAAATGTTTGCCAG